AAAACGGAACCGTACATGTAATATATTAACCAGCCGTAAGATAATGTCTGATTTTGCAATGAATTTTGTTGTTTTTGTAATAAATATTTTTTTGTTTTTACAATTTTTCACTAACCTGAAACTATGCAGAAACGTTTGTATTGAAATCCATCTACCTCATAATAAGTTTACCAATCATTGGAATTGTTACAGACCACGGACGCGTGTTACTATTGAAAGGAAAGGGCAAAAGATAGTTACTGAATTGAACCAGTATTTATTCCGTCATTTTTTATTCCACTTTTTTTACATCATGCATAAAATACAGTTAATGGAGAATGAAATTTTTTGCTGTAACACTTAACAGAGAGACTTATCTTATACACTACAGTGTCAACCTATAACCAATGAAGTTTAAGGACGCATTTTCCAACAGCAATCATTTAGTATACAATCGACGTTGTATTGTCATTGAAAAGCTCAACAAAGGAAATCGTCTGATCCAGCGCATCATTTTCTACTATGTCCTATGATCGCTGAAGACATTCGTACAGTCAAGAGCACGTCAAGTCTGACACATTATTATCGTCAGCGGCATAGAAGAATTAAACCTTAAGAGCGCATTCAAATTACGACGCGACGGCGATGCAGCCTCACCACTAGTAATGTTCTTAAAATATTTAGAATCGCATTTGCCGCGGTTTTTACACAGACACTACTGATATCATATCTTATATTGAGCGCGCGTTTAAAGAAGTTGGAAGGAATAGGGAAAGACTGCGCGTTCCAAGGTTGCCTTTTACACGGACGCTCTTCCGTTGTAATAAAATCGCTCGCGAAAGCACGTTAGCTTAAAAAACTTCGAAACCGCGCGCGAACGCTTTTCCGCGCCCAGTCCTATACACTCCTGATCACGCACGATAAAGTGAGTGTGTAAAGAGGACTAATCATTGTCGTGAAACGCGCGCGACATTTTGCAGTCACAATGCGAATGAAAAATTACTGAAGCGCTACAGACGCGCGACTCTGCCCGTCGCGGCACTGCAGTGCTTCTACTAACGATAGTGTCTACTTTGAAGGCGACTTAAGTGTCAAACTTGCTCTGATCCTATTGAAAGGGGATCCTATTTAAATAATATTAAATTGGGCCTACATACCGGAGTCAAACCAAATAATTTTCTCTGTTTCGGCTTTTATATATGTGCTTTTTCGGCACTTACATGTTACCCTATCACTGTTATACGGCATACGTACACACTACAGACGCTGTATGCATGCTGTTGCAAAAATGCAAGGTTTAATTAAAATAAACAAATTTACAATTACACTATTCGTGTCATGTTTTGCGAAAATAGCACCTACCACCTTTTTGTTACCTCACCATTCATTCATTCCACAGGAATAACGAATCGTTGTGATTTATTACTATAATTCCCCAACAAGCCTAACAGCAAAAGTTTTCATTTTATAAGTAAGTGTTAGAATTAACTATCAAAAAGGAGAGAACCTGTAGGTGCCATTTTCGCAAAACTATGTCATGTGGGTTGACACGTTATTGCTTCTCAGCATCCAATTATGGAGACACGTAGTAACAAAGGGGTGCGGTTATAGTTCAACTGGTGATCGTACATTAGCTGAAGCGAAAAAAAATTGTGAAGCGGTTACATATTTTTTATGAAGCTCTTGTTTTCTTTCACGAATTCTTTTTCTGGTTGTCTTAAGGCGAGGACAGACGAGCGTAATGTTGTGGGTTGTGAGTCGATTATACGAGTCGCTTTTTGTTGTTTCATTGGTTTTCATATTAATAGTCCGATTTGTGCCACACGACGCAAAATTAATTGTCTGCCGACTCGCGCGTAATTACAAACGAACTTTGGTCGTACTTTGTGGCGTGCTTGTACGGGTGGAAAGGCGGGAGAGAAGGAAGGTGAGAAAACCGTTTATTGGCATGTTCATAATAAACTTTCACGTAGTGTAATTTAGATATATTTGAAAGTGGGACATACCCATACTGAACCCAAAGAAATAATAAAGTAATGAACATAAACTTACAAAAAAAAATTTTTTTTTTTTTTCGACTACTACTTAAGAACAACATTAGTTATCGAAATCTATGCACAACATTATTATTGCTCCGACGCAGCGGCGGGTGGCGACACGACGGTGAAAAACAAAGAACAGGTCGGGGGTGGAGGCGCGAGCGCATACACGAAATTACTGAGTGCACGCGCGACCTTCTAACGAAGACACGTAAATTATTTGTACTTCCGCACGCTCGATCGCCGCAAAATGGATATTTATTCTAACGTCGAATTGACTGAGATGGTGCGACTTTACGCAATAAGTGGTGATAGTGTGAGGCAAGCTATTGAAATGTTCCCAAATCGGAGTTTACGCGGAGGAGGTGAACTGTGACACAAAATGTGTTTGTGTTATGCAATAAAAACAAAATTTCTAAAAAGTTCTATCCCATATCCTAAATTTATTTTAGTCTATGTTAAGTTGTAACATGATTTACTATGACATGTATGAATATGTCTCACTTTCAAATATACAGCCTATTTTTTAATCTTTTAGTACTGAGTGGATGTAACCAGCTTCTTTTTTAAGCTCATAGCCCCTAGAGAAACTAGAGAAACTCTGTATCGCAGGTGCCTTGGACACACACATAGACAACCACAAATTACACCCAAACTCACGTGAGAAATAAATGTAGGCGTCACATATTATTATGTATCTCCATGCCCGGGTATTGAACCCGAGACATCTGCGTGGCAGACCAGCATGGTAACCACTCGGCCACAGAGTGACTTTATCGTTTCATAAATGAATACTGTTTTTAATGGATCCATTACACTGGCGCCCCAAATGAATTTCAATCGGACATAAACTACACAGACTCAAAAAACGCGACTCACAACTCACAAAATTACGCTCGTCTGACCTCACCCTTATTGTCACAATCGCCAGCTGAAACACATTTACACCCATTTAATGAAAATTAAATATTTCGTTTACTTCCATGGATAATCAAGTCTACTTAGTTACCCAAAAACTTACCAACTAATCAATTTCATTTGTTGCGAATGCCATTTTTGAACTGCTTGAACATTTAAGGTAAGCGCACATTTCGTCGTATCACCCGCCGCATTCCCAATGAACGCACTCGCATACATATTCTTTGAATCAAATATACTTTATAGCACGTCGAATAATATAGTAAAAGTATTATTTTCTATTACATTGATAAGCTAGATTATTCATGAGTCCTCTCGTTAAAATGCATTTAAATCAAATAAAATCACAAATACAGATTTGCTAAAACAATTAGCTTTTCTTAATAATAAATCCAAAACGCATTTCTTCAATTTCATCTCTCATTTCCAAATTTGCTTTATCTGTCTTTAATATTGAATCCAAGAACAAATATGAAAAAGTCCCAATTTATTATTTAAAAAAAATGTGTAAACAATATACGAAAAAAAATCATGATGCTTTATGGATAATAACAAAAATATACCTTTATTTCATAAAGTACAGTATTATAATAGTATTACTATACTGTTACTGAAATTTCTTCACACAGATTATAAGCTTAGTGATAAAATGTACCTCTTTCTGTCATAATTCGAAATCGAATATCTTGGGAGTATAAATCGACTGTATATTATATAAGTTATCTGTACTTTGTAACAAGTGAGCAGTACTATTTACGAAATCTAAGCTACCTAAAATTCGAGCTTTACGTAACTTATCGATTGCATTGTTAGTCTATTTTAAATACTCATTAGCGAAATGTAACGTGACAGATACAGTAACCAAGTTGTTGTGTGTACGCGTGAGTCTTCAATCGCTAGAATAAGTACCTTGTTACCGTCGGCTCACTGCGAACCGCACACGTTCCGCTCGCCAACCACGCATAGTTCAAGAAATATTATTTACACCGACCGATGTAATCTCTTGGAACGATTTATCCTTTCTGTTATAATAGGGTAATAATTAAAACCATTAACACTTCTTTTACTCAAAACGTACATGGACTTAATGATTTTAGTACATCGTACGGGTCATGGGTGCGTTAAATTTAGCAGCAGTACAGCTCCTTGTGAAAGAGTTCGTCCAGGGAAGTACTGCCTCACCTATTTCTACCGCCAAGCAGTAATGTTAGAATTACTGCGTTCCGGTTTTGAAGAGTAAGGGAGCTGGTAAAATTACACGCACATGGGACTTGTCAATTTATGTCTCAAGTTGATGGGTGCAGTGGCAGTGCCCCTCAGAGCTTTGCGATTTAAAGATCTGAGTGGCACTGCAACTGTTATGGACAGGCGTGTAGCTTACCATCAGGCGCACGACTTGTTGATCCCGTCACTTGATATTATAAAAAAGTGATATTTCTGAATTGTAATTTTGAATTATTTACTCATCAGGTCGTTTTTTTTAAAATAACGACTGCCGACTCTTTTCTTCTCTCACATAAAAATTATCAAGTTTAGAATTAGATAAGTGCCTAGCTGTTTGCACTATACCGATGGCACGTGCTTACGTTACCGAGACGGCACTCTTTTGTCCTATCGTACTAAGGTGAAGCGATAATACGAATCGGTACAAATAATATTTCGCCAACTATACACACTATGATTTTTGGTAACATAACATGTAACGGTTATAGCTCGCTAGTGAGTACCCGCCTTAATATATTATTTGATATTCTATCTTTCTCGCTCATACATAATTCACAGTATAGAATGTCACTGAATCGAATTTGGCTTATTTTCAGACTGATATACTCAGACTGATCTACTCAGACAGAAGTTCAAATTGCTATAGCAAAATGGCGAGAGAAGAAAATAATATACCTGTATTTGGGAAGTTCTTCAGCCCACTTAGACAAATTTAAAATAATTATGATCTTTGCGAGTATCTAAATTATATTATTATTGTTCTCAACTGTCCCTTCCTTTCTATTTCATGTCCTCAAAACATGTTCTCTCTATTGGATGCTACCGTAAAACTCTTTTTCGTCTTAAGGCAACTTTACTAACCCCAGAATGGGGGATAATTTTTCAATGACTTTTCGCTTCAAAAACTAAAGAAGTCTTCACTTCATAAATTATCGAAGTAGGACAGCGATATCGCATTCTCTCTCCCGCTTATCAGTAGGGCCTTTTGCATTACTGCATACTTACATACAATACTATCGGTATAGACGAAGTTTCATTTTATTGGAGCTAGATAGACATTGGCACTCCGTTTTTGCACTCTTATTCAATGGCGTGGACTGTTCTTACACTAATACCACATATTGAGGCAGTAAAATCACGAGGGTGTGCGAAATTAATAATTCTTAATTTTCCGGTAAATTAATAACCCTTTAATTTCTTCCAAAATATCTTTCGTGAACAGAAATAAGTTGGGATTCAATTTGCGCAAAATTCTGTGTCATCTTATAACACTCCCAAGATTATCGAAAATGGTGACTTATACTTGTCAAGAGAAAAATTATTATTATTTAACATTTTAAAAGCAAAACTTGATAAATTTTGCGTTAGTGCCATTCGTATATTAAAATACAGGCCCAGAGGCCTTACCATGAACTCTTATAACGATTCAGTGTAGGAGCTAAAATGAATAGTTGTGGGATAGCGCTACATGAAGTGTATATCACCATCCCGCTTTTTTGTCGTTACGAACCTATACTGAACTGTAATGAGAGTTCATGGTAAGGCCCCTGTACGTTCTCCGTTCAACATCCATCTGAAACAAGCACTGTCAAATAAGTAATAGTCAATGAAATTGAAAGACAGTGTCAAGTATGAAGCTTCGTCAAGTATTACTTATTTGACAGTCATTGTTTCGGACCAATGTCGGACAGAAAACGGGAGTAGACTCCCACTTACAAAAGCAATAGAAGTAGAAGAACCACATTTCGTTGCTTTGCGAGAATAGTGGCCCAAACTAAAATGGTGATTTTTTTTACTTATTACAAAGCTGGATTCAGAATGTGCTAATTACTATGAATAAGACACCCGAGCTTTCTATTGGTTAAAGTGATCATATGACATCATCTTTAGGGCGCGTTCAAATTAGCAGCTGTTAGCCGCGCTGCTGCAGCGCGTCTAGAATTGTATGAAAAGTGACAGCGGCTAATTTGTACGCGCCCTAATAGTCTTATAACTCCATCGATACATTTGATGATTCCGCCAATGTCAAGTTAAGGAAGACACGCGTTTATTACAAAAACTTTGATCAGTTAATATTTTTCTCTTTCTCTAGTTTTTTTTACCTTTCTTATTCGGAAGGTTTGTGTCCCATCCAACACAAGACACAATAATTGTACGCGCTAACCTTGAACGCACCACCACCGTTGCGAATTTGTGACTTTTGAGATAGGCCGCCATTATAGAAAACCCGCAAATTGTAATTGTTACGAAATGTACGATTTTGAAAATTAAAAAAGGTGATTTTAATAAGTAATTTTTCTCTCAACACAATATATCACTTAACAATAAAATCTAATTACTCAAGAACTCTAAAACACGATTTACGCGTTAATAAAATGCGTTTTCAGATACTTCATCATACCGAAAGCACGGAATCTTTTTGTACCGAACACCTTGAGCAATGCGTCGTCACATACGACGAATTGTTTGTTGTTGGGGTCGTACAGATTTTTCTCCTTGATGATTTCCCATATTCGTTTGACGACTTCGTGACGTGGCATCTCGTCTTTCCCCATGAGATCAGAAAGAGCTGGCGATAATGTATAGGCGCGAGTGTAACCACCGCCTTTGCCTCGCCCGCCGCCACCACCGCCACCGCCGCCGCCGCCGCCGCCGCCGCCACCACCACCACCACCACCGGCCTGAAACATACGTATCGCATAATTTTGAAAACTTATTTTCACATTCTCTAACTAGCACAGCCATTAATAAGGATACAGTTTTAGCCCGAAGATCGACTATATTAGGCATTGGCCAATTGGCATTGGCGGGTTGAGATGTTCAGTTGTTGAACATGTATGTGCCTTCATGCCTTCTTCAATAAGCAGGTTTTATCACAATGTTTCCTACACCGTAGCCATAAAAAACCAACATATAAAAATTAAAAAAATTCTTCTGTATGTAATAATGTACTTGAATGATGGTTTTGGTGGCACAACAGTTTGCACTGTGGATACCGGATGTGTTCGATTCCCAGTAGAAACAATTTGGAAGATGAACTTTTCTAAATTGTTCAAAATTCGACCACTATAGTGTCAGAGCTATCACCTCGCCTTTATTCTCGGTTCAATTATTACTAATCCCAAAAAATATCAGTAAACAAGAAACAGAGTAATAATTTTTCTTTTATTTAATAAGCATACCTTCTTAGCCTTTGGAGCACCCTTCCCCTTCTTTCCCCAATCGTCGTCGGAATCGCCATCAGAGGCTTTCCTCTTCCTTGTCTTCTTCTTCTGAGGTTTCTGCAACAGAAATAGAAAAAAAATAAGTTTTTAGCCAGCCACTCTCCGCATGAAACTAATTAAACAATAATAAATGCAAAAAACAAAAACAACTTCACTATCAAAAACGTAGTTGATATGTGTTTGACCTCAAGCAAGGCACCAAGAGTTAATTGTTCCACATTTTTCTTCATCGTTAACTGTATGAAAAAAATATTCAACACAGGCTATTTTCACTAAGTTTAGTGTGAAGATATGTTTTAGTACCTCCTCTTCTTCTTCCTCCTCTTCAGATGCCTCCTCAGCATCATCAGATTCATCATCTTTTTCATTGACGTATTCCATGACCAGTTCAAAGATCATCTTCTTCTTCTCCGTGAGGTCCACACCAAGCTTTTTCTCCAATTTTGTCACCACAGTCTTACGGGAAGTCATTTCTAGATCTGCCCCATTTAAAATCTCTGAAAAAAGAATAAAAATAGGTAATTGTTTTGGCAAATGGTTTAGATATGTTAGTTTGAACTTAATACTAGGTATTAAACTACATAGTTAAGCCCTTGATGGCATTAATATTTGTTTTGCATAGCCATTCATCATTAGGATTCACTTAATAGAATTAAGATTTTCATTGTTATTCACTTAATAATTATCACCAATTGCAGGTTCCTTGTCTCTATTCCTTTGTCTTTTCAATTTCAGAACGGTTACCCATTTAAAGGTCACGAGTTGTCTGGCCAGTGGCTGATGACAGCTTTCATCAGACACGCTCATCAGTCTGTGCTTTCGCTGTCAATAGCTACCTTCTTCTGGATTACTTGTGGTGTTGCCATTGTCACTCACTTTTTTGTAATAAACCACACTCAATGTGAACCATTTTTGTTTGCATTAATATTTTTGTAATAAATAAGCAACAGATTTCAAACATTGGATTATTTTTTTTATAATACTAAGTAACAAGACGACCAAGTTGTATGTCTGGTGGTAAGCGACATGCCTGTCCATTACAGTTACAGTGCCACTAAGACCTTTAAATCACAAAGATCTGAGGGGCATTGTCACTGCGCCTGACACACATATATATATTTTATTATACATTCCGTAGACCGTACTTACGGACTATTTTATCTCGAACCAGTAGTAGTGTCATTTTGTGTATATTGTACTAAAGCTGACGTCTGCGGGTCATTATTTTTTGCAGTTCAAATGTGTTCCTTTCACACAGTCAAAAGATTTCTCTCTCTCTTTTGTTTGACTGCTGTATGAGCTCCCACAACTGCAGTTCATGTTGTGGACACCCAGTGTTTGCAAAAAAAATGGTCTTTTAGCAAACGCAACTGCTTTCATATTTTGTACATGAGTTTAAAAAAAAGTTTTATTCAGAATGTGTTTAGAAATCTGCCTATTTAGTCCGTTATGTCCTGGGCCAAAAGAACCTGGATATCTTTGTACCTCTATTTGCTTCTTCTTTGTAGGTATGGGTTTGCTTGATTTTACACCATGGAGCGTATAATCATTCCGAAATGTCGGGCAATCAAAAAGGAAACATAATCTGTGAGAGTTAAGAAACCTGTAAATAGTGATCATCATCTTTGGCATTTTAAAGTGGCTCCGACTGGAGCTGAACAACTTGGCCTACGGGGCTTACGAGATCTGTACTTAAGTACAGGTATTTGTAGAAAGCACCTGTTACGATTTTTATAAAACTTCTCTACTAACAAAAAAATTAACATATTTTTATTATTTAGATAATTTTATTTGATCTTTTTTCTTTCAACTTTTATAGATAGTATATAATAATTTAAGTTCCATATTGAGATTTATTTATCATAACATATGTATGTACCCACTGCAAGTTGTACAGTCAACAGCACATAAAGCTATACACTTTTGTCCGAATATCGCTTCCAGTGCAATGGAACAAGATCTCTCAATGTGTAGCTTGATGTGCAGCTTAGATACATAGGTACCTAATGCGTGTATCCGAACGCACAATGGCGGCCATGGCGAAATTGACAAAACAAACCAATTAATGCATTATTTATTGGTTTTGTACTTGAATTACAAAATAAATCACAAAATGTTTCAAATAATAAGTGTGCCTAAATATAATGCGCACCAATTAATAACCTTCAGGCGATTTAATAAGCCGCCATTACATCGTACTATACGTGAACAACTGCTTACGCATTTCATAAAAATAAATCATCAGTAACCAGACGGAACTACTAATCTATAAATACGAGCATTTATACCAATAAAACCGCAATGTATCACATAACAACTATTACTTGAAACATTTTCCGAATATCACCTAACTATCAGAGATATTTAAAGTTGAAACTTGTAGAAAATCGAAGTTGTATCGAACACTGTATGGGAAGCCATTACGTGACCCTCGGGCAGAAGAATAAGCACTTCCGACTTTAGCGGCATTTTCCGACAAGTGATTATGTCCGTATAAGCACAGTTGCTGCAATAAACTTACGCCTGATTTCCTTTCTAAGTTCTTCTTCTGTGATGTCTGCCATTTTTCTTGAAGCAAGTAGAATCCGCCAAGCAACAAAGAAGAAGCGCAGCGAACGAGCCACACAATAATATACCTACGCGCTAGATACTACACGGCGGCAAAACGAACATAGCCGAAAGAAGCTTTCGGCGAGGTTCGTGTTATTTTAACCACCAATCCTAGGAGAATGCGTATACCGGCATAACTCAATACATAGGAAATAGAACTTTAGTTCAGAAAGATAAAAACTAAAATTCAAGTGGCGTTTGACAGTAGAGATGTTGAAACTGTCATAACCGAAATGGTAGCGTTCATGAAATTTAAATTTTAGAGCACTGACAGGGAGCGTTTTTTTATTTTGTTTTTATTTGTACATTGAACCAATTGAACAAAATAATTAAATATTATTTTACTTGACACTCTGATACTCAATTCCTTGCCATGCTCGTACTTCCAGTGCATTTTCAAGCACTGGAAATACGTATGTATGTACGTAAGTATGATTTCTAGTGCTATACATCATACTCAAATCCTGACTTGAGCATTGAGTAGAGTTCTGGAATACGGCCCTAAGGGTCGTAACTGTACTCAATGCTCAAATCAGGACTTGAGTATGTTTTCAAGCAAGTTTTTATTCCAGAACATTACTCAAGCGTAGAATCTGCAATCGAAGTTCACTTGAGTAATGTCAAAGGAAGTGGCAGCTTGAGGCTTATTTATAAACAATGCTTGAGATTCGTTTCAACTTTGCTGATTCTACCGTAATCAACTCTAAAATCTTGTCTTGAGTGTTGTCAAAATCTATATTTACTTGAGTGAGGTCCAGGTTGCGCTTAAGTATGTACATAATAATTGGCCAAAAAAATTACAATATTACGATGAAACCATTTGAGAGTTTTGGTCTTTAACAAAACATATCAATGATGAATACTCAATTGCTTCGGATGTTGAAAAACCTACAAGATCCGTACGACATGGATGAACATAGATTTAAGCAGAATATAGGTTCAACCAAGATTAGGTGTAAAAAAAATGTAACCCTTCGAATAATAACGCATAGAAACCTAGCCCGCACACGCTAAGTGAAGCAAATTGTATGGGCTTACACGAGCGAGCGGGCTGTCAGTGCTCAAGATCAAGTTGCACCGCGAGCAGCTCAAAAATTTTTGCTAAAAATGACGAAATGTGCGGTAATTGGGTTTAAAAATAGATCAGACAAATATAAAATAGCCACTAACATCACATTCCACAAGGAAGTAACGCGTTTCAACTTGTATTTTTATGTAAATATTCACTAAAACAGAATATTAATTTCGTTGCAACAAGATACGAAAATGTTGCAAAGTAACGGGTTTTTTCTCCCCATTTTGCTATTCTGTTTCAAAATAATTATATTACGTAATTTTTTGAGAATAAGCAATATCGCGACGGTTGCAAAATTTCTACAAATGTACACTGCCGCAACAACATTGTAGGGAATTTACGTTAGCTATTTTTACGAAATATATTTAGTATTTGCCTTCATTAGTTTCATGTGAAAAATAATTATTCTTGTTCATCACTCATTTAAAAAAATTGTCTTGCCCAGACTTAAAAGTTCTTAACTAAAATTATTTCAGGAAACTAACTCTGACTAAAAAGTCATCGTCAGTTCTCCAAAATCGTGTATAAATAATTTTCAGGTTCAGGTTCTTAATTGTTATCGTGTACTTTTCATGTAAACATACCCACAGATAATATCAGGCTATTTATATATTCAAATTCGATAGTCGCACTTAAACTCGCTTGTAGGTTTTTGTTCATATATGAGTTAAATAAGAATTGGGTAGTATTTAATAAGGTGCCTACAGATTTGCTCGACATTGTCGATCGACAGTAACGATTGAGAATAATAGACGTTTTCGAGGAGTTTTAGAGTGCTTATTACGAATGTAGCATTAATTTCTAAATCCAAGATGGTTGACAACAAGTTTCAAAAATGTATTTTTGGTAAACCATAAGGAAATGGCATGTATATCTGAATACAAGATGGGGGACAAGACTTCTAATTCTTCTTCTTCTAATTCTTTGCCATCTTGGATTTAGAAATATGTGCTATATTCGGAATGAGCAGCCCCTAATACCTTGAAAACGACACCCAACTTGCCATTATTCGAAAAATCGTGCCCGCCATCTTGGATTTAGAAATTAGTGCCATGTTCTTAATGAGCACCCCCAAATACCTCTAAAACGACACCCAACTTGCTATTATTTGAAAAGTCATTTCCGCCATCTTGGATTTAGAAATAAGTGCTATATTCCTAATGAGCACCCCCAAATACCTCGAAAATGATACCCATATTGCATTTATTTCAAAAGTCGTGTCCGCCATCTTGGATTTAGAAATAAATGCCATATTGGTGATGAGCACCTCGAATACCTCGAAAACGATTCCCATATTGCATTTATTTGAAAAGACGTGTCCGCCATCTTGGATTTAGAAATGAGAAAAGTCGTGTCCGCCTTCGTGTATTCAGATATAAATGCCATTTTCATAAGGAGTACCAAAAATAAATTTTTGGAAATTCCTGTCACTTGACGTTGTCGATCAACAGTAAGGATCGACAAAATCGAGCATATCTGTAGGCACCTGATCGACAGTAACGATCGACAAAATCGAGCAAATCTGTAGGCACCTCTAACTTAACGATGAGTTAAGCAAGATACAATTTCCCCACTTTTGAGGGAAATGTTATTCCAGTGTCAGTTTTACACATTATTATCTCGATCGATCATCGTAACAAATAATTTACATTTCCAGTAGTAAATATCAGCGTATCTTATTTAATTTTGACAATGATAAAGTCCTTCCTTTAAGAAAGACAAGAGGCGATACAGCCAAGTATTAATAGACAAATACAAATGAAGGAACGAAAATCGCATAGAACCATGGACAATCACTCTTGTCTTGCGTAAAAACTTGCGTAAAAACTTGAGTGTAGTTCAGCTGCGTACGGCACAGAGTACTATTCAAGTATAAACAAAATCCTTATGACTTGAATTAATGCTCAAGCAATACTTCGTTGATTGACGATCACGACGATACTTGAGTCACGTTCTGGAATACAGGGTCGTATTCCAAAACTCTACTCAATGCTCAAGTCAGGACTTGAGTATGAATTCAAGCACTGGAAATTCGACCCTAATGGCAAGGTCTTGAGTATGATTCTAGTGCTTTAAATCATACTCAAGTCCTGACTTGAGCACTGAGTAGAGTTCTGGAATACGACCCAAAACAGATTTGTATGAGTGTTGCAACGTTGTAACTCTCTATTATCAGTATTATCTAAGACAACTTAGAAATTTAAATTTGTATTGCAGTGATATACAATTATTTTTTGTGAAATTACTTCTCAGTTCCTGAGACCCGTGAAATGTAACATCCCCTTACAGGTTGCAGGAGTTTACAAGCTTGACTGTGAGTGGTTCTCTCTTATATTGGACAAACGAAGCGAAGTATTTGTACCCGCGTCAAAGAAGAAGTCTGCAGTCTGCAAGCATGTCATGGATAAATCTACACATTCAATGAAGTTTGACAAACCCCATGTCCTTGCAAAAGAAGTCCGTTATATACTTAGGATGCTGCGAGAGGCCATTACAATTAAATTACTTTCCTTCCGCAGCTTAGTTGGCATAGTGCACGGTTTGCTAGAAGACATCGATTCGAATCCGGCCGGATCACACGACGTACACGACGTTGCTGTACTTGTCGCGGCGGCATTCTTCATGAAGTCTGAGGAGATAGTGGAGTGCACCAGACTTAAAATAAATATACCCTGAGGGTTGAGCGGTTGGAGTCCCGCCACAATGTGAATTTTAAATTCTTTTGTGGTGAGAGTGCCCACCGAACATCTGTCGACCTTGATCAAGGAAGAATTTTGGCTGAAGTGTGTCGCATATCGGCGATTCCGAGACAGGTTACTTTTGACACAGATTGCGCCACACGACGGACGCCGATAAGTGCAATTCGAGTAAATTAGTTGTATCGTTTTAATATTATATTAAGGTATGTATATTAACGGGTCATGTTGTCTGATACTTAATTTTTAAAAAGTAACAAATAAATTTTCTATGTAAACGTAATACGAAAAAATTATACAGTTATAACACTAAAATTGACACAAGCTATTGACTCAGCCGCCACAGAGTGCGCGCGTTGCAAGGAAACTGGTTATAAGTGGGGCGCACTATAAGTTTCCGGGATGAATAAGAAAAAAATACTATCAATGGTCAGAAACGAATTTATTGTTTGTCAAAATATTCTCCGTTAGCGTTAATGCACTTTTTCATAGGAATAAACCACTTTTGAAAACATTTATGCCACTCCTCCGTGACAATGTCTGAAACATATTTCCATGCTCTTCGACAGCCTGTTCAGGTAATGAAAATCGTTGATCACGTCCTTGGTTGTCAATTTTTGGAAATAAATAAAACTCACAAGGTGTCACAAGGTGGTCGAGACTGTACGCGTGATGGCTCATAAGGTCAACGTTGTTCACCTTCAAAATTCATTTGTCTGTCTGGCCGTGTAAGAACTGGCATTATCGTGGTGCAAGATGATACGGCTTTTACGGTTACTTTTACGGAGTTTGTCAATAACTTCCGGCAAACAAATGGTCGTGTACCAATCACTATTCACGGTACAAGGATTCTCCAAAGCAACAGCAGCCACGTGTTCAATTTTATTGAAAAAGAAACAATCATCCGCTTAGAGACACTTTGCGCGCGCGCCACTTTGATTGGTTTCGGCTTATCTCGAAAGACCCACACGCTCGATTGCTAATTAAATCTATGTTTCGTCACCTGTTACTATGTTCCACACAAAATTTGACGCCCCTTCGTTGAATCGTAAGCATGGCATTGTGTGAAGCGATCCGTTTTTTGAGCCTCAGTCGAATTGTGTGGGATCCATCGAGAGCACTGCTTTTTCACACCCAAATGTTTGTGTGATATTGATTGTATTTGACTCAGTGGACGGGCGACCATCACGAAATTCGTCACTGAGATGCACATGGGACTTGTCAACTTGTGTCTCAGGGTGACGGGTGCGGTGGTAGTACACCTCAAATGTTTGAATTTTATAGCTCTGAGTGGCATTGTAACTGTTATGGACAGGCGTGTAGCTTACCATCAGGCGCACGACTTGTTCGTCCCGTCAATTGTGTTATAAAAAAACACTATGCACGGGTTACTTCCAATGAAAAACAAGGTCCACACAGGCCGCTCTAACTTGACCTAAAACTACCAAATATTTATTTCATATACTTAATATTGTAATAAATATCTGTCAATATTTATATCCAATTAATGATATCAGTATCTGGGTTGTTGCTGATGCAGGTTTTATAAACATCAACAGATGCTCATGCGAATGCCTATTTTAAAAAACGCAAAGGTTGTACATGCTTACTGAATCTGTCTACGTGAAAAAGCTTTCTATTTTCTTTTGGTATTGTAATAAAATTAGTTTACGTCATGACACGACTCGAAGATCCGCAATGAATATGAGATGTTTTAACTTATGCTGATTATCCGCGGATGCTGATATTCGCAACAACCTTGATCAGTAACATCAACGTGAAATTACATTAGAAAACAATGTTAACAAGCAAACACTTGATTCAATCTATCCCTTTATTGCTCCTCAACAACACGGATTTAAACCAATAACTTTTTTTAATACGCTTTAAAAGCTAAAGCCAACAATACAGTGACATGTTAGTCGAACGTTGCCAGGTGAACGCCAGTTATCAACGTCTTTTGTCTTGCCTTGCAATCGTTCGGCGTCACTCTCCTAGCTGACCGAGTGACGGCGAGCGCCAATGTGTATTAGGTATAGAGCTCATTTGGCGTGGCTTATCGCAACTCGCTATCGCTCGTGACCACTTGTCTCACTTCGGAGAGGTGTCTGTTTTTTTCTGTACAAAAAGAACGAGCTCGACCAATAGTAGTCAATTGACATTGAATACAATTAGACATTTGCATGCTATTTAATATATTCCGAACATGTTTGTATTAACACTGTCTCTTGATACATATTCTGTTACACCATGTTTTAAGCAAACAAACGTATGATAACATTATTATTGATTTTATTATTGTCGATAATATTACTACTATTGTATAAGTAACTTTAATTTATTTCAAAATAAATTGAAGTGTTAAAGATTCACTTAAACCACTCACTGATATTAATTATATAACAATGCATAAATACAAAAAAGCTTGCACTATTTGGAAACCTTTGAAAAATTTCTTTCTAATATCAATCTTGAGGTTGGAAATGCATAGAGATCGTCAGATTTATATTATAAAATTTTCGCTTTTATTGAAAAACCCTCAAATTACATTTTTTTCCTGCAAAAATTCACCTTTTATAATATTTGTGCGTTTATAAATGCAAAATAATAAATTCTCACACCGGATATTCCCATGAGAAGTAAAATATTCCAAATGGAATATTGATGGACTTTAGTTAAACGTTTACAAGTCGATAATGATTTTTCAATAGATTATGGTACAACGCTAAACTAAAGAAACCCGTCATTTGTTCAGTTAAATTTTTGTATAAGCATGTAAAAGAACCTATTTCACCATTCACATTTTTCATTCACGTTATCGGTCCGTTATTGTCTATGGGATCCGAAACCCAAAACGAAAGCGTTTTGTAGCTAACGAACTGAGGACGGCTCACGGATCGTTTTGATTTCGTACGCAGCTGCGGTTGTATATTTTGAGAGTAGACCTACAGATTCATAGATGTGGATGTTTTCTGTAATTCATTGTCAAAATATAAAACTAAAATTAAAACCTTACTGTTACTTTACCTTACTTAAAATTGTTTAGTACTATCCAGTTTCAATGGCTTTCTTGCGAGACCGCCTCTAGCTCTAGCTCAGTTGTTCGGAACTGAGGCGGTTTGGTGAGTTTGAAATTTGAACTGCATTTTAAATAAAGGAAACTCGGTCTACGTCATTATGGTATTATCGTTAATGTAACAATTGTTTTATATCTTAGAATAATAACGCATAGAATGATAGTTTCATATCAAACGAACTGTCACAAGTGAGGCAAAAATCAAATTCATGTAGGCTAGTTTTAGTAGTAGGTTAATTTTCGGTTTTAGTGAGTATTTATATAAAAATACAAATGTGATGTTAGTATCTATTTTATGTTTATCTGACGTATTTTTACACTCGTTTACCGCACGTTTCGTCATTTTTAGCTAAAATTCTTGATCTTTTCGCGGTGCAAGTTGACCTTGAGCACTGAAGGCCCGCCCGCTCGTGTAGACCCATTGGGCGCGCTTCAATTTGCCTCACTTAGCGTGTGCGGACTAGGTTTCTATGCGTTATTATTCTAAGTTATATTACTGTCGGTATTGTTTGTTTCTTGAATTAATGTCACGTACAAACAAATTTAATAAATTGTGTGAACTTTGCGTCTCATTGAGTCATTGGTTACGAAATGTCATAGCGACCATCGTGCATCCGTTTGTCACTAAATTAATTGAAATAAAGATTACACAAACGTACCTGATGTGTTTGATGTTAAACGAGCAGAAGGTTCGTCTTCATTTAATCCCCTCGTCATTAAATTATCAAACAAATCCCGCAAATGGACATGGACCAGTTTTTACATCTGTCCCGTGCAGCCGAACTAAAGGAGGTCATTTTAGACAATTAGACCATCGAACTTTTTGTATATTCTGTGAGTCCATCACATGCAAGCGCAGGACTAATGCAAAAGTGTTAAGACGTTACTTTAATGCTTTGCTCGTGCTGATCCAGAGCTGACAAATTTAAGGCACAAGGCACCGAACACTATATCAAAACACAGTTGCGGTTTTGTAAATATAAATGTCCATCATTCGCTTGAATTCAAATTTATTAAAACTAGTAATAAGATATAACGCATATTGCACTGAGTAGGTACCTAATAATAAAAAATATATATCATACATACGAAAGTTTAGATAGGTACCTATATAATGAACACTACTCCAACTTAATTTTTGGACTTGTTCTGTTTTTGTATTGTTTTTATTACTTAATTTTTTTCCACAAAATTCGTTTTATTTAGTTTTTTTCAATTTTGTTGGGTGTGGCTTATATTAGTAAATAAATATGGCTGTTTACAAAAATAACAAAAAAGTACCAAAACATAAAGTTGGCGTAGTATTCATTAGAGGTATCGGTTTGTTTATTCACGCAGGTACAGGGTCAAGAGCACGTCAAGCTTGACACTTAAGACTTAAATCCAACTCTATGCCGCTTAGGATAAGAACGGTCCAAAGTACAAAGTGTCAAGCTTGATGTGTTCTTGACTGTACCTAAGTTTTTTTTATAACATCAAGGGTCGAACAATTCGTGCGCCTGACGGTAAGGTACACGCCTGTCAAGTGAGTACATTAATCTATTTCTTTTCATTATTCTATTTATTTTAATTTATTTTAGACCAGTTTAGATTTTTAGTAAAGTTCTTAAGAGGAATAGGTAATTAAATTCTACTACAGTTCAGGAGCCTGACGAGTACGAACAAATGTAATAATACCTAATAAAAATAACTTACAAATATAAAAACTAGACGGATTATGGTTTACCTAAATAATGTTATTTTAACATGTTACCTCGTAGCCTATACGAAACAATTACGTATACCGGGTTACATATTGATACACGTAGGTAGGAAGGATAAACGTAATTAAACTGACCTCTTGTCGCATCTTGTCGCTTGAATTTGTTCTTTGAGCATTTTTGTTTGTAAGTGCACATTACTGATTACACCTTAGCCTGACTTGGGGCTCGTTCCCATTATGTTGTAACGTTTTATTTATCGTTAGACGTCTGTCGCGTCTAGCCTGTTCCCATATCTCGACTATCTGTCATGACTGTGTCGTGGACGTTTATTTTATCGCTGAGCGACTGTCGTGTGTAGCTATTCTCACCGGATCGAATTTATCGGTTCACGGCAGCCGCCTTGTCGTTTGCACGACACAATCGTTTGAAGCTGCGATTATCTGTTATCATATTTTTATAGTGAGGTTTTATTTATCGTCAAACGACTGTCGTTCTAGTTGTTCTCATTATGATGACAGTATGTCGTCGTATCCTCAAAAAAGATGTGAATGACAGTTAATCGTGTTATTCTACGTGCGAACATTTAAATATATAAGCCACGATACTTCTATCTGTCGTCATGACATAATGGAACGCGCCCTTAACATTGTGAGTTCTGAATATTTTAAGTACTCAAACATAAACTAGAAAACAGAATTTCAACCCTTTGTAATTCAAAGTAAACATAATAATTAGAAATAATTATCAATTTTATTACTACTGTTTTTGTTGTAAGTTAGCATTCATATCGTTTACATATCGTGCTCCTAAAGCTATCTGTATTTCCTTGAACGATTTCCCTTTGGTTTCTGGTACAAAGTACAATATGAACAGAGAAAGTAAAACACAGTTTATACTAAATATCCAATAAGTGAGAGCTGGACCTATCGCCGCGATCAGAGCTGGAAAATATTTGGTCGTTATAAATACTGTTGCTGTGGCTATGAAAATGTTGATCGTAGCTCCAACACCTCGAGCCGGTCCGTCGAAAAGTTCAGCAACAAGAATCCAAGATAAAGAGCCGGGACCTTAAATAAAAAAACAATGTTAATAGATTAATAATGCATTTTTTCTGGCAGTATGGTGTCATGGTATTAAAGTGGATTCACAACAAACAAATTCTGGCAATATATCGCGTTGCAGTGATTGAGCTGACCATTCAGGCGCTAAAGTCGCAGCTCCTGATTGGTCAACTCTAGGTCATATCGCGCAACGTGATAAATTGCGGCAATATATTGCCAGAATGTTTTTTTTGGCTCAGTGATTGATTACTGACGAATACTCTAAATAATGATTTGCGTCTGGATGTTCTGAGTAATGTTGTGCTATCAGAGGTCGGCTTATAACTCACGCCTTTAGTTTGTAGTATAGGGTACATTTAAAAAAAAGCCGTTAAAAACCAAAAACAAAGCTCAAACGCATAGAGAAATTCGTGAGATCTGTGATTCGATCTGTAGCTCAATTGGTAGAGCGGTTGCCCTAGATTGGCAAAACAGAGACTGGTTCGGGTCCTGAGCGAAGGTATTTTTCTGTGTTCAATTTTTATTAATAATCATACGTTTAAAGGGTTTTTCAACAAGAGCTTTGTTTTGTAAATCAAAACAAAACAATAAATTTAGATGAATTGTTATCAAAAAACGTCCCAATGCCAACGGTACAAGTCACACAGCCACCGATACAATGAATTTATTGCAAACCAAATTTCCCGATCGCATAATTTCATGTAATTCAGCCGTGAAGTGGCCAGCTCGATCATGTGATAAAACACAGGTGTTAAAACACCGCATAATTTTTATGGGGTTATGATAAAGACAGAGACCATACGGAGCCAATCGAATCGATTGCAGCCTTAAAACTTAAAGTTCTTGAAGTGATTAACGAAATAGACCTACCATTTTGTCAAAAAGTGATTAAAAACTTTGATGAAAAGATCGACATCTGTAACTGTGGCCGTGGTGGAGATTTATCAGATATCATTTTTCATTCGTAATTGCCAAACCTTACTTTTTTTAATACAATAAAAATTTGAATCATCGTCATCAAATTTATTGTTTTATTTCAATTTACAAAACAAAGCTCTTGCTGAAAAACCCTTTATTTAATTGTTATTTGCAACTATTGTGCTCTAAATATCCTTGGTGTTTTATATTCTACATGATATGCTCGATCCAGGATAAAATATGCTCTCTTGAAAAATGTCTCGAAATGGCGCTTCCGCCCTTTCTATAAAACACCGACAATATGTACCTTTATATTTAAAGTACTAAGTTTGAGTGAACTCGTGTAAATGAAGTAGTAACCTAGTAAGCAGCAAGAGTGCATTGATAAGGTGAGATTTAATGATCAAACTCGAGAGTCACACGTACTACGTACTTTACCGCTTAGACAGCTTACAATTTTCAGAATAAAAAGTAAAATATCCACCTCGTAATATAAAAGTAACACTTGATTGACGACAAAAATTTTGTTTTACTGTCCCTGCCGCGTGAGAGAGAGAGAGATTTTAGATTTTATTTTGTTTCTAAAAAGTCCGGACTTGCTTGCAAGTATCGGGCTTCTTGTTAAAACTATTTGAATTTCGGAATCGTAACCCTATACGCAGGTGAATAGCGATTGAATATCAATGCAAGCGTTATCAGTAGCTATGTAGTAATAAACACTCGTGTTGTAAGAACCAAAATGTTTTGTCATCGACATGTTAAGTACTGTAGTATACTTTAAACTCTAAGGAAGTTAATTTTTAAGTACATTATCAGTACTTCAATTTATTGTTGGTATAATATCGTGACACGGTAAATAATTGCACAATGAAATTGTTCATTGTGAAACTCTTTTTTGTGTATGGTGGCCTAAATACTTTTCTATGTCAATTCTCTTTGAATCGATTCACTAAATACTGTATTTGTTTATTAAATATGAAAGTTTGTGTTGCAAAAAATATATTCGGCCTCATACCGAATACCGAATATTTAGCCGGGAGCGTGGCCGAATAGCTGAATATTCCGCCAAACTATTCGGCTTAATTAACGTATGTACGAATATTGCCCCGAAAAATACCACTTATTAAATTGAATTTTGTAATAAGTAATTTTGTACAATGAAACAATAAATGCAATTTAATTTCCAACCTTATATATTTTAAAAATAAATTAGTCGTTTATTTCCCTTTAGATTAACTTTTTAAAATTATTAATTTATTTTGCTTTGCAAATAATAAGTAATTAAGTAGGTACTTGGTTGATTTAGTTTGCATTTATAGTTCGTATTTGATTTGTTACCTTTTTTCATCTCTTTTGGAAAATAGCGTGTTACATTTCCTTTGATATTTTAAATAAGTAATGAGCTTTCTCGAACTTACAATATATATTCAGCGTTAATATTAGTTACATGATAATTTACTATATTTTTTTCTCCTGAATCTGGGTTTTCCGTTTTCGGCCGAATAGTGATACAATATTCGCTATTCGGCCGAATGAAAACGGGCCGGATAGGTCAAATACCGAATATTTTTTGCAAATGTAATAAAACTAATATTACCTGCACTGAAGGCGAAAACTATAATTATAAAAGACGCCAAGGGTACGACGTTTAAGAAACCAGTGATGTCATCGCTATTCTCTTTAAGCTTGAAAAATATTCCCAAACCAACCTGTAATAAAAAATAATTGTTTAAGGCGCCGCCGCGCAAACGTGTCTTGTATTGGATACAAGCAACCGGCAATTAGAAGCAAATAGCCTATTTTTTTCATACAAAATAGACACAGTCGCCGGTTGCGGCAACGGCAAGTGTATGAAAATAGAATATTCGCTCCTAAATGCCGGTTGCTTGTATCTAACACAATATATACGTTTGCGCGGCGACTTGGGCTATCGTTTAGGAGAGGGCGATCACGAATCTGTATTTCTGTATTAGAAAGCGGGTAAGATTTTGATATTGTCTATGTATGGTCGATATTTTTAAAAAGTTATTTTTTTTACAATACCAAGTGACGGGACGAACAAGGCGTGCGCTTGGTGTTAATACTTATTTATATAGTTATAATTATTTACGTACCATACCAAATGCCATTCCAATCAACGTCACCGATAATATGGGCTTTCTTCCGAATCTATCCGTTATTAATGCCGTGCAAATGGAGGCCGTCAATTGTATACAGCCAATAACAACCGAGGACACTTCAGGACTTATGCTAGTGCCAGTTGATTGTAGTACTGTTTGAAGATAGAACGTAACTGCATTGTAACCTGTAGTGGAAAAGTTTTTTTTTGTGATACCCTGTGACGATACGAACCAGCCGTGCGTCTGGTGATAAGAGACAAGCCTGTCCGTTATCAGTGCCTCTCAGAGCTTTAAATCGCAGTTCTGATGTCACTCTGAGACGTAAGTTGACAAGTCCCACTCGCACACGAAATGCTACCGTAACTAAAAAAATGATGTAATTAAGGAACCGCTATTTTCAAAGTTCAAAAAATTACGGAACCAATAACTTTATGTTCTCGTTTATAAGTGAATAACTAATTATAACGTGTAAATAAAAATAATTCCATTATTCGCAATAAGATTCATTTAGTATTTTTTTTAATTTTGAAACTGTTTTCTCAATTCCATAACGTTTGAGTTACGACAGTATTTGGTTTTGATGTGCGATAATAAGTCTCATGAGACTGTAATTTCACCAGCGGTAAAACTACTGTGAAAAAAGTTCTGCCTTTTAATATTTATATTATAGGTACTCAGTTGAACTGGCAGTAGATGCTGCTAGAATGGATTTGATATTACTGTTAACAACACTAGTTGTAATTTTATTCTGTCATTTTCTATCAAATAACCTTTTTTTTTACTGGTAGTAGATGCTGCTAGAGTGGACTTGACATAATTGTTGTAGTTGCAAGGGTGTGCTATCAGTAGCTTACCGATAAAGTTATTCCCAGCAGCTATTACGAAAACGATTCCAAGTGCTTTTAAGAAAATTCTATCTTTGAAGAGTTTCAGTTTGTTAACTGTATCACCTTGATCGTCGGTCGTTGTGGAATAATCTTTCAATTCTTCGATAGCTAGCTCTTCAGACCCTCGAAGAAACGTTAATACTTTTGTAGACTCAGCTGTTCGACCTGTCGTTTCATGAATAAGTAATATATTTAAGTATAATAAATTGCTTCTAGAGCACAATAACGTCTTCAAGATTGAACTGGGTGCGAAGTGATAATATTCATTGATAATTAATTATTATGACAACTATCACAATAATTATTTTGATAAATATACCTTGATAATTAGCTCGATTTTTATAAAATTTACTTTTTTATTTATTTACCCAAACATGTGAAATGTAATACAAATAAGTCAAAAACCAAATCGTTTTCCCAAAGATTTTTCTTCGTATTTATTTCGTTTTCTCTCTGTTTGTCATTTAATTTATTAATCAATCAAAGCATAGTTTCCCAAAGTGGTCCTCACCGCCCCCCAGTGGTCGCTGAAGAACCATAGGTAGGGGCCTCGGAAAGCACAATTGGGGGTGATGATGCTATCCAGAGGGTGTTACCGCATTTGAATTTTTTTTTATCTAGGCAAGATTGAGTGGACGGTGAGACATAAAGTTTGAGAACCTATGAAATAAAGAGACAAAACTATGAATCAGCATTGATAATTGTCAAAGAAAATAAATATCTCGGTAATTTCCACAGACATATATCTAGATAGGCGCCGCAAGTGTATCTACTTCGCGTGCCCAAAGTAAGTGAAATTCCCTTACTTGCCACTGCTACACTTCAGGCGTTCGACCATTATCGTAGTTAAACACCAGTGAAAAACACGAAAAATTCATAATTGTGCCATTATAAACTGCAAAAGCGTCATAACTGTGGGTAACCGGGTAAACAGGGACGTTTCCTTCCACAGGCAAGTGACCTGTAGTTGAAAAGCTTTTTTTTGTAATACGATGTGACGATACGAACCAGCCGTGCGTCTGGTGATAAGAGACACGCCTGTCCATTACAGTACCAGTGCCTCTCAGAGCTTTAAATCACAGTTCTGAGGGGCACTGCACTGCGCCTGTCACTATGAGACGTAAGTTTACAAGTCCCACTCGCACACACGAAATACATAAATAAAAAATGATGCAATTAAGGATTCGATTTTGTAATCACAACATGCATAATTTATTTTAAAAACAATTATTTTGGTTTTGTATTAATTTCGAGAAAACAAATATGCAACCGAGAGTATGCCTCATGATTTGTAATACATTGCGGCTTTTACTTGGTGAGATATATTTGTGATCCTTTTTTAATACGCCATGAATATCGAAACAAACGCACTTTTGTACAATGCATTCAGTTGAATGGTACGGCCACTTGTACATACATTTCTTTGGCCAAATTTAACATATAGGGTCGTATTCTAGAACTCTATTCAATGCTCAAGTCAGGATTTGAGTATGGTTTAAAGCACTCGAAATCATACTTATGTCCCTGCCATTAGGATCGTATCTCCAGTGCTTGAAATCATACTCAGATCCTGACTTGAGCATTGAGTAGAGTTCTGTGATTTATACGTTAGGCAACACTGTTCTCGATTCTGATCGATTTTGAAAACAAAGGGACGAAAATTATTATGACCTTCGCAATATTATAAAAATATTCTGTAACTTTTTTGTTATAACGTTTAGTGATTTTTCGTTTTTTTTTTCCAGTTTTGTAGTATCTATTATCGGCTGTAATTTCGATAATTTTTGCAGCACGTTGCCTCGAACATCCGAATATAGTAAGCAAATAATTACATGCATTGCCGGATATGTAGTACGAGTAATACAAAAAAATATATAATGCAAAGAATTAACAGTGCGCTGTCTTTACAAAAACCTGGAGTTCGTTGCTTTCGAGGACGAAGGTGGTTTAGTTTATCCCACCTAAGATGCTATCCAAATATGCAGAGTAGTAGAGTTGGAAATCCGAGAAATAATAAACACAAAAATTTCACACGAGGCCGTCATGAAGTAATCAGAAGAGGTAAAATTTTACCATATTTTGTCAGCAGTAACATTTTCATTTGTCTTGCCATTCACCAATTTGATCAATTACCAACAGAAAACCATGTAGTAAAATTAATTAAGGCAGTCGCAAGTTCATACATTGATGTGCGTTTTCATTATTAAGTTAATCGATCTTCAAGATCTTCTGTTACAAAAGATGCTATATAATAAGCTCATTTTATTGGAAGGACAATAATTTTAATATTTGAAATCGATTCAAAATTAAAATCTTAACTTTTTTAAGTAATCAACATTTTTTTAAAACAAGTAAAATAAAGGACTTTACTATCTTGTTCTAGTATTTTTCTGCTATATTAATATTACGACTATTTATAATCAACAAATACTTGAACAAATTTTTTGTATTTTGAATCGATTAATAGAATGGAATGCGCGTGTTTACGCGTGTTATGTTCAATCAATCGATTTCGAGCAAGCGAAAGGAGGTTTCCATTACTAAATAGTTCTTCTTCTGTCTATCTAGATATATGTCTGTGATAATTTCGAACCCTTGTTTTAAACAATTCGTTGAGATTTATGTGTCATTTTAAAAATAAATATCATGAAAATATAGAAAGATTATTATTTTATTACTAATATGGTTTTATACTTGCCTCTAGAGTATAAAAAGTAAGGACTTTGTGGTAAAAACAAAATAGGTATCGTCGCGGCGATAGTGATGCAAGTATACATCACGTTCAATGATAAATAGGACAGAAATGGTCCAAATGATAACATTATCAAAATACCGATTGACGAAAATATTTGTAGAATAGTTCCGAGACTGCCACGAATTTCCACCTGTAAACGGATAATATTTCCACTGTACAATATAGTTTGAACGTCACTTGTATATCTACCAACCAACGACACAAAAACAAACTTCATTAGGCATGCCAAATTCATTCGTAAAATATGCGTCAGGTTTTTAGAAATGTGCAGACTTACACTAGCCACTTCCGAGGCGTACATCGGCACAATGATTAAAACTATTGAATCAACCATACCACTCAATGCTCTTCCCATAAGGAGCAGCCAGAATTTATTAGCGAATATATATAGTAGACATAGAATAATTTTAGGGAAACAGGCAAAGAGTAGTAATGTATATTTTCTTCCAATAACGTCAACAAAGAAGACTACTGAAAATGCTGAAAAAGAAAAACAGGTCGAGTTTTTACGTTTTCAAGATTGTTACATATAAATCTATAATCTAAATCTAAAATAGGTTTTTTCCTCAAGGAAATCAACGTTTCGGACTCCATACAGGGAGCGGGTACATGTAATTTTTTTTTTTAATTATAGCAACCTAGAATTGATCTGATGATGGAAATAGCGCACCGATATGAGAGGATCTTCTGAACAGTGCACAGCAACGATATTGCACTTATATTATGGTCTCAAATTATTCATTTAGTGAGGACTTCCATATGCCTTTGCTTATCGTCGAAGAGACCGTGGTAACGAATTCAGCTGAAGCAGATTCACGAATTTAGAAAATAATTGTTGCCTTCAACCTAAAGCACAAAATTTAAGCAAACAACAAATATTTGTATGGTATCTGTAGAGTTGCCTGTTATCAAAATAAATAAACATATTCAAATAATACCATTATTTGTAATTTCAAGTTTAAAGTTCAAATTTGTTGATGTTTGTATCGTACCGTCTATATAGCACGATTGAACGTAAGTTACGATTTCGACGGATAAAAGTTATTTACAAAACAATTTCTTAGTTTTAGCTACTATTACACGTAGAAAATGAAACCATTTTTTCGGATCTAAAACGCGTATGTTGGTGTTTTCAAACAAACCAAAGTTTTGTGTTTTTCACAAGTACTATGGTCCCAGCTTCCAATCAGCCGTGACCTGCAACGGGCGCGAAACGTTAGTTTTGTTTGAAAAAAAAAAACCAGATGCGATAGATCCGAAAAAAAAATAGTTTCCTATACTATTATTTACATAAAAATTTTCATATTCTCTGTCAAGATGTAAATAATTTACATCAAAAGTGTGACTTGAGGCAATTAACATATCATCATCAACACGTTTATACGACCCACGGCTGGACACGGGTCTCTTCTCAGGTCATGCGGCCCAATGCGGGTTACGGACGTCACATTTCCAAGGGTTGTGAACCTTCTTCGACGTACAGGTTTCATCACGATATTTTCCTTCACCGAAAAGCTCATTGTAAATTTCAAATTAAATTCCACACATAAATTCCGAAAACTCAGAGGTGCGAGCCTGAATTTAAACCCACAACCTCTGCCTGAGAGGTGGTAGATACCACCTCTCAGGCAGAGGTTGTGGTTTATGCTAATTAATAAGGTAAAATATAATTCTAATCAAAAAATCACCGATAGAAACCTAGTAATGCTGTTAGAGATCCTACGGATATAATCCAAGATCCTTCTTCGTCCGTCAATGGCTCTGGAAGCACCGTCTGTGTTTCATTCGTTAGCTTCACTAGGACTGGAGAGCCCCATGCAATACCCATACCAAAACCTATGGTGCTTAGATTTACTGAAAAAAACAACGGATTGGACTGAATTATAGTTTGACGATAACTTTAATCAGTCATCAGTCATAAAGTTTTAAAAGCAAACTTAAACATTCTATTATTGTTTTCATTTATGCAGGCAAAGTTGCTCTGTAAATGTGCGGTGATTGCTAGGCAACAAGTATGTCACGTGTAATCGAGGACATCCTTTAGTTTACGAAACGTGCGGCTTATGAGACACGTTTCAGGTCCTAGATATAAAAGAATATTAAGTATAAGTTAGAGATGGTCAATCGATTGTGGATTGTGTACTTATAATTTATGGTTTATTGTATTAGTAGTAGTTACTTACAATTTTTTCGTAAAGTCGAAATAGCCTTCGAAGTTACGAATTAATGTTTTAAATGGGAAGAAGGAAGTTAAAATATGGAGGTAAGGTACTGATAAAAGCTTAAATACTAGAAACTACAGCTAGGATTGGATCCCCGCGGAAAAGTGCCAAAGATGCTGGCCGCGTTCCCCCTTTGTAAAGCTAAATGCTTGGGCAAGATAGCTGCCCGTCTCAGTCTAATAATTTTTTGTGTAAAATTTTGTATAGATGAAGGACACCGGGACCTCACGGGCCAACGTATCGGACTACATATGTAGTCGACGCCGAGGCACCTATACCTTAAACCAATGACGTTACATAGTTATCGAGTTCTTAGGTTTTCGCGATTGTTACACATACAACTTAATAAAAATTCATTCAATAAAATAATTTGTAAAAATTAATGTAGCGTAAATTGGAATGTTTTCTTTCTAAAATTAAAAATAAGGTATTTCATTAATAACTATTGCAACTATAGTAAAAAATAGGGTGGTTGGCATCAATATTAGACATAACTGGTTGAAGACTGTACCACCTCAGTCAACCGTGACCATGGGACCTGTAAAGGGCCCGAAACGTCGGTTTGTTTGAAAAAACAAATATACGCGATTTATCTCCGGAAAAATAGTTTTATTCCTCTGTTACATAGGTACTTAAAAACTTTAAATAAGTATCGAGTTGTTAGGTTTTCGCGATTAAGGCAGATAGGAAATGAAACTATTTTTCCGGATTTAAATCGCGTATATTTATTTTTTCAAACAAGTTTCGGGGCCTTTACAGGCCCCATGGTCAGGGTTGACTGAAATAATTATTACACTTTTTAAATAAAATACTTTAAGTAACTAGGGCAAGAGGTCGATGAGTTTTGAGGGAATGCAAATCTTTCACAAACTGTCCTTAAATGTAAGGGTAGCGGAGTCATTTAGTTTAAGTATTTAAATCTAAATTGTATAAACATATTGTTAAGGACCATTCATTGCTGAAATAAATATTTGATTTGTATAATAATAACTGTTTATATCTAATGTAAATATGTAAACAATTAAACTCTCAACTCATGTTTGTATCAATAGTAATGCTTGTATTCGTACTGTGGCTTGGACTGAAATCGTCGTCGCTAATCGTCTAACACGCGCGCGATTTTAAGCAGTGATACAAACGCGATGCAAGCGCGCGACTGCATCTGTACAAATGCGCTATTGCTTCGCTACATTTGGAATTTATAGGTGACTGCATCGGTGCAATCGCGCGTTTGTATCGATGCAGTCGCGCGTTTGCATCGAAACAAATCGCTTTTAAGTCGCAAGTGTAGGTCCGAAACAATCGCGCGTTTCGCGAACGCGCGTTTGTACTCTTACTAATTAATTATAACTTCTCACTTATGTGACAATTTGTCACATAAGTCGCCCATGACACCAACCTACTATCGTAACTCAAAAATGATGGAAAACAGAAAACACGCTTTGAACATTTTTAAAAATACTGCATGGAGCCGATAAATAGATACATGTTCTCGTTTATAAGTGAATAACTCAATAATATGATGACTGTGACTGTGAGTGAGTTAACCGCCACCATGGGACCTGTAAAGTGCTCGAAACGTTGGTTCGTTAGAAAAAACAAATATACGCGATTTAAATGCGGAAAAATAGTTTAATTTGCTATGTGTAACAATCGCGAAAACCTAAGAACTCAATATCAATAATATGTTCATTAAAATTATTCATTATTCGCAAAAACATTCAATATTTTTTTTTTCCAATTTTTAAGTCATGTTTTCTCAGTTCCATCAGTTTTATGTTACGACAGTATTTTGTTTCATTTTGCGGAAGTACCTTTAAACCTATTATAGGTAATGTGCAATGAATTTAATTGATCTTTAATACCACGATAAGAATCCATACCAAAACAAACAAACATTATACTTTTCATTTTATATACATCGCCTCAATCTTAGAATAAGGCTTCAATGATATTTTTTAATACAGTCGCTCAAAACGTGGTATTTTTCGTACTACAAATCGTGCCGAAAGTTGGATTTTTCCTTTTTTCGCACTAGGGCTTTTTACTTTTCCATTTTTTTAATTTACTGTTGTTTCAAGTCTTAAACATAGAACTAAAGAGGTTGTATATTTATTTAATATTTATATGCTTTGTGACGCAAGCCATTCGTCATTAAAACTTATATTTACTTACAAACATCTTATTTGTTTACATTGCATAGATGTTTATAAAACAACAGGTTATATTTAAAAATACCAAAATATTTTCCATAAAGATGGCTGATTGAGTATTAACAATGACCGGAGGTGAGTATTACGAGAGACCGCTGCGCGCCGCTGCGCCAATAAAATAATAATTTTCACAAATTTGTGGCTGAATACTTGCCAGTATTCACAGTTGCCATTGTACTCTGAATTTTTATCAGGCAAAGAAATAAAATGAGTTCTTTTTAAATACTGTTTTATTTTACTTTGTTTTGTTTGTAGTTTTTCGCAAATGTATTAAAAAACGTCGTTTCATACACGTGCGGATTTGTCATTTTCACTTGTCTCGAGTCTTGACCCTCGCCTCTGGCTCGGGTCAAAAAACCTCGAGACCCATGAATAATGACTAACTTTCCGCACTTGTATCAAAAATTACTATACTGTCATAATAAAAAATACCAATGTTGAACCATAGCGTAAACGTCCTCGATTAATAAATTTTATTTAAAAAAATTCTGCTTACCCATAACAACAACAGCATACTGCCTGAATACAGGACTTTTGAAAATTTCGAACATTTTGTATAAAATTTGCACTTGCTTCAAAATTAATAAAATTTTCTTAGTCACGACACAATCACACACACGACATCTCACTTTAAGCAATATGAATGAATGAACGATGAATGGGCATACAAATAAGTAGGTACTCAACTGAAGTATTTTGTTCACTATTTGCGATTATGGAACATAGCTTATAGGACTGAGTATTACGACGTAGACGAATAAATTTAATTTATAAATTATGCGTATGCAAGTAAATCGTCTTGTGTAGGTATTCAGCTCAACAATTACTAATAAATTCTATACTTGCATTACTTAGACAAGTAACATCTGGAAAATAACAACACAAGAATGTATTCATGTATCGAATTAACATGGATAAACTTTATTTTGAGCCACTAGGTAATACTGCGAATTTAGCGAAACTGTTTTAATACTGTGCAAGGCACCTACAGAATATTAAATAAGGCGCATAACATTGGCACCTATATCTTTAAAATTAAATGTAGTCACTTATCTACATTATCACCACCAAGAAAATGCGACGATAGTTTGCAAACTTGTTAACTTTCACAAATGATGGTATAAACATATATAGTATTCCACTTCTTATCTAAAGTAACGCAAATTAACTGCTGGACGACCACGCAATGTAACGGGTACATAGAAATGTTGCATTAAACGAAAACGAAACGTCTTAAAACCTTGATGTTTAGTTGATTCAAGGGCTTTCCTTTCGTTTTTAGTATTTGTGCACGACACGACTGCGGATGCGACATAGTGGGCGTCACTTGTATAAGAGAACGCGCCGCAAGTGTCGCTTTTTCCATGTATATTACAAACTAATAGGTAAGTACTTTGTGTGCCGCTTTCACCAAGCGTGCAGGACCATACGCCCGTACTATTATTATATATAAAGATACAAGTTCTTACTCACTGATAGAAATAGAACGCATACTTCCCGATATGGTGGAAAAAAGATATTTATACCGTTGTACGCGGATAGATTCCAAAGTAAAGAATCAAATATGAGAAGATCTAAATGCGGAAAATTTGAAAGAGTGATCAACGGCCTGCGAAAACCATAATATATTGAGGGAATATTTGTGAACTTTTATGAGGTACACCCTGGTCAATTTCCGCCAGAAGAAAAAAATGTTCGAAATTCAAATAAATAAGATGACCGCCATACAAATTTCAAGGCCTCCTATCACGGAAACTATTAGAGATAGGTAGGAGTTGCTTGAAGGAATGTCATAGAGATTAATAGTGGTCAACTGCCTGGGCTCAAAAAAAAAACAAGATAGCGAATTCAAAATGGCGGGTGAAGAAAAACTTGCTTCCATCCGGCTGAACATTGATATGCGGGGGTCTTTAGGAGTCCTTAACCATAAATTGGGGTCAAAAGTTTCTTTTCGCTATTTTTTAATATGGCTGTCATATAAACGTTTTTTTCGTCATAAGTGGCTGCCGAAACGGACTTGCTCTGATTCGGCTGAAAATTGGCATGCGGAGGCCTCTAGAAGTACGGATAATAGTTTGTGGTCAAAATTTGTTTTTCGCCATTTTCAAATATGGCCGCCATAGAAGCGTTCGTTGGCGGCAGAAAAAAAATGCTCTGATCCCTTTGAAAATTGGCATGTGCGGGTCTCTAGGAATGCTTGATAATAATTTGTGATCAAAAATGGTTTTACGCCATTTTATAATATGGCCGCCATTCAACAACTAATAAAAATTAGCTCTAATTCAACTGAAAATCGATATGTGGGGATCTCTATAGGTGTTTGATAATAATTTGCGGTCGAAATTTAATTTTCGCCTTTTTGAATATGGCTGCCATACAAACTTTTTTAGCGCCAGATAAAAATTTGCTCTCATTCGATTGAAAGTTGACATGGCGGGGTCTCTATGAGTGTTTAATAATAATTAGTGGTCAAAATTTATATTTCGCCATTTTTCAATATGGCTGCCATACAAACTTTTTTGGCGGTAGATAAAAATTTCGTCTAATTCGACTGAAAATGGCATGGCTTCAATCACAATTTGGGATAAAAATTTCGTTTCTGTCGTTTTTCGATATAGCCGTAATTTTTTATGTAAATGGCTATTGAAAAAACTTGCTTTGCTCGGACTGAAATTGGCACGAAAATATTTCTAAGATTGTTTGATAATAATTAGTGGTCAAATTATATTTTTGCAATTTTTAAATATGGCCGCCATTAAAGAGCTATTTCAATTTTTTTAAAACAAAGCCATAAGTACCGACGCGACGCCGGAGGCCGAGGTCCGCGGAGGGCGAAGCCCGAAGTGTCCGCACTCCATCAAATGGAGGTAATATACGGAGACGTAATAGATTACGAGTACAAGATCTCACAATTGTAAAAATGTAAAGAATGCTTCTCGATGTAGTGGAAATGAGATACTTATTATAGCGTTATTGTATCTCAACCGTCTCTATGTTAGATTTCATTTTCTTGAAAGCTATGCCAAAGAAAAGTAATTAGGGGGAAAAAATGCCAAACTACTGCCGAATTTCCTGTACTATATAGGTACTATGAATACCAAATCAACGATAACCCATAATACTCAGACGAAAACCAACTTAGAAATGTTCGTTTCTTAAATTGGCATAAATCGTGAATAGACCTCCTCATGAAACGCCCGTAGTACTAACTGCTGTGCCACCGAAGAGCATGAGCACACCCCGTAAACTGATAACAACCACACGCCGCAGGCCGAGCCCGACCCCACGGTAGGTGGGGTACAGGGCTCGTATTAATAATATAACTACATAACTATTTAACACTTAGGTGGGAAAACACATAAATTTTATTACTAAATCTATAAAAGATTGTAACTGCCTCCGTGGCTGAACGGTGACCACGCTAGTCTGCCACGCAGAGGTCCCGAGCTCGATTCCATTCCGCGGACGGGAGAAATATTTGAATAAAATTATTTCTCTCGTGAGTTTGTGTGTAATTTATTATTGTTTTAAATGTGCCATGGATGGCACCCGCGACACAGTGTTTCCCTAGTGCGGGTCCTATGAGTGTGTGCGTTATTATTAGTAAAAGGAAATTACAGCTCGATACACCGATAATTCGAAAAATATCATAAAAATATTATGTTTTTTCCTTAGTTCTAAAACCTGCTTTATGAATTTTACAGGCTTAGCATGAGCCCGAAGACAAAAGTTCTCTTTTTCGAACTGTCAATTTAATCAAAATTTTCAAGAGAAAATTGATACTTCGAAGAAGAGATAACTTTTGATTCGGGCTCATGCTAAGTGTGCTGAAGTATCAAATACTTGACGCGCAGCTTTGAAAATCATAATTTTTTTTGAACGCAGCCGTGAATTTGACATCCCATCGTTTGTTTGACAGCAGACGTATGGTGACGTGACACTTTATCTCTTTCTACTTGCCGTGCGCATACGGATAGTAGAAAGAGATAAAGTCATACAAAAGAAGGAGAAAGAAATATTTCGTTCTCACTTTTTCTTATTGCTTGCTTTCGTACGTGTTTCGTTTTGCAAACAGCATTTCAATGTTTATATTTTTCGTGAATTTTAAGTGAATTTGTTTATTTTTAAAACAGTTTGATTAAATATTAATAAAAATGGACGATGCTGACGATGACTATTGGAACACAAGTGAAACAAAAGCACAAGCGCTTATTTTTGATGACGATGTGGTAAGGCAATGTTTTTTAAACATACCAAAATTTAATTATTTTTAATGTCTCTAAATAGGGCTTACAGTTTGTACTGTTTCACATGGTGGCCTTACCACTACTAGTCATGGTTCACCTATTATGTTGGTTTGCTGTCTTCGAAATTAGTAGAATATTTTCTATCCAGATTTAGGTGTTATTTATTATTTTTTGTTTTCGGAAGGGGTCCGCGGGCTCTTGGTAATGTTAAATGTAGTCCATGACTAGAAAAAGGTTAAGAAATTCGGCCGTAGACTGAATTTTTTGTCTATTCTGTAATATGAATTTTTCTTATTTCCAGTTATCACCGCAAGAGATTCTCGCTATAGGCCAGAAGCCGTACAGTGGAGAAAAAGATGGGGGCGTGTTCAGCAGTGTCATCAGTGTGAAGACTACCTTATTGCCTTTGAATACTCTTGTTGCTCCTAAAGTATTAGATTTGAGTTAGTATTCTTTTTATAATTTTTGTTATAACTTTACCACATACAGTATACCTCTTTATTGATTCATCTTCATTATTCATTGAGAACCTGCTTCTTTATAAAGATGGTTAATAAATAATATAGTCGTACAGGCCCAATCTGGAAAGGAGCCTAAAGGAACAAAGCGTGAATTGGAGCAGACAGTAGCAAACAGCATCCAGCGACTGGTCCTAGGCCGCAGCTGCTGGCTTCAAACGCACCGCAGTCGACGATCGAAAACAGCACTGCTGGATGCTGCCATAGCTGTGGGGGATGGGAATTCTATACTTACAGTAAGTACATACTTACTTACATATTTTTAAGTACTCGAAAATATCTATTTTTGCACTATGGATTTTCCTAAACAAGAATAAACTTACCGCAGTTCTAAATAAAATTTGAAAACAATTCCGTCAGGAACAAACAACGAACGAACATACTGTCCCATTAAAAAAAAGACACTATAAGATCCACAAATACCTTCAAATGCCTCCTCAAATTGAAGTAGTAATTTGCAACAGTTGCTTTGTTTAGTAGCAGTAAAACTCCTTGTGAAAGAGTTCGTCCGGGTAGGGTAAGTCTGCCACAGCATACATAAGCGGTAATGTATGCGTTACTGCATTCCAGTTTTGAAGTGTGAGGGTGCTGGAGAAAGGACAGGCACATGAGACTTGTCAACTTATGTCTCAGTGTGACAGGGGCATTGGCAGTGACCCTCAGATCATTGTGATTTAAAGTTCCAAGTGACACTGTATCTGTGGACAGGTGTGTCCCTTAACACCAGGTACACAACTCAAAATAATACAAATTTTATGATAATAAAAAAAACCAGGCTAACTGAGCCCTGTAGAGAAAGAATTGCTCATAATAACAAACAGGCTGTTGCATGCTACCACCATAGATGAGACTTAAGTTTGAACACACTAGGGAGGAAGGTGTCTGACAAGCCAAATTTTAATATTTGGAAATGAACTACTATGATCTCAATCAAGACTAATTGCATGATGGCATAAATATATTAAAATAACACAACTTTTCCATAATGTTACATAGTGTTACAGCATAGTATTATCAACCACACCAATAAATTGGTCTAGGTAAAACTAGGGAATTCCCTGTCCTATGTGTATCAGAGCAATGAAGTCTAGGGCACTTTTCAGAGCACCCAGAACAGAACCAAATTAAAAAGTTTTGTTTCCCAAATTGGGCCCAGCAGTAATCGAACCCGGGACCTCCTCATCCAACACCTACCGTACAAACCGTTGGGTCACCGACGTGGACAAACGTTCAATTGTAATCTATTTATAGCAGTGGCGAGGCGTGAAAGTTGTCGTTAGTAAAGTAGGAGCAAAACAAAAAACACCTGTAACAAAAAATATTTTTCCTGTTAAAAATGCGAATTGGCAACACTTAAGGCCAGTTTGCCTCGCGCTATTATTGGCTGAGATCCATCGGGAAACTACAGTACTCCGTATTATGAAGGACAAATTACTACACGATTTTCATTGAATATAAGTTTTTTTAAGTTTAATTTTAGCCGGTGGGAGTCGTGTTATATGGACGCCTCGCTACTGATTTATAGCAAGATTAAATAAATATGCAAAATTCCTGATTTACGTTCCAGGTGCTGCTATTCCTTATCCAGACTTTAAACAAAAGATTGGTCTACGAGCTGTTGTCTTCACGACCATTGGCCTTGAACCTCTACATCAGCTTTCTTCAGAACGAAGGCAAAATTACTGAACTCGCCGATTTACTCACGTAAGTTTCACACAACACAGAACTAAAAAATACAGTAGAAGTGCTTAGCGGGCGTGGCATGAGTGCCAACAGTACGCGTAGTTCCGCATACTTGAGCTCAGTCCGCCATTTTCGCTTTGTACGTTACGGTGGTGGCATTCAACCTCGAAAATCGTGTATAATGCCATTTGCTATGCGTATTTTGCTACAGAAATGATAGTCGCACCTAATAAAACGAGTTTTATCCTTCGTGGTGTTTCATATCATCGCAAAGTCTCATTTCATTCTAATAAATGTTCTATTTATCGTTTATTTTTTATATATAATAATTTTTTTGTTATAAGAAACAAAAAAACCTTATACCGCTGCCTATATGGTCGACTTTTTTGGCGTCGTCGTTGTCGTTAATCGTTGGTCGTCTTTCAGCTATTGCCGCTAGATGGTAGCACATTGAATGTAAAATCTAAACGTCGTAACTTGCAAAAATAAGTATTGACCATTCAACGATATGCCAACTGGGTAAATTTTAATTTATATTAACGGCCCATTTGTTATATCTTTTTAAATTAGAAACTAAAATCAATCATTATCAAGATTTCATGTTATGCCTTTCTAAAAAATCATATATAAATGAAATAATTTATGTTCTGCGATCCATGAGTCTCCACCAAGGAAAATATTTTACAAATTATTACCTAACTAATTGACAGTCTTTGTTTTGTTTAGAATGCTGGGGAGGAGTCCAGAAGCCGCAGTAAGTATATTTTATTTTATACTTTACAAATATATAGGGTTATTTGTAAAATACATAAGACCTCGCAGGACTATATTACTAAAACAAATTTGATCCATTCTTTTAAAAATTCACCAAATTTTACTTTCGTACTAAAACCAAAATATTTAACTAGATCGGTGATAACACTGCGTTAACAAAAGAAAACTGGGTAGTAGAGCTCCTTGTGAAAGAGTTCGTCCAGGGTACCTTACCTATTTCTGCCGCCAAACAGTAATGTCAGCGTCACTGTGTTCCGGTTTTGAGGGATAAGGGTGCTGGTGAAATTACAGGCACATGAGACTTGTCAACTTATGTCTCAGGGTGACGGGCGCAAGTGCCCTTCAGATCTTTGCGATTTAAAGCTCTGAGTGGCACTGCAACTCAACCCGTCACTTAATATTATATAAAGAAAAAAACGCTAGGGTAAATACCAGACCGATGCAAAAAGCAGGACAAGAGCGGGGTAGAGATCGTCGGGGAAAAGGTTGAACATTTGAACTGGCTAGCTTACTACTTGCATCCTGGAATTGTTTGTCTTTACTATTGTTCACATTTTCGTTACGCTTTAAAAATCTCATAGACTTCATCATATAATTTTATAATTGTTCAGTATTTTGAATTTAATTTATTAACTTGAAAATATAATGAAAGGTTTTCGTACTGCACACCATTTTATTTACTAAATAAATCCAAACATCACATAAAACAAAATGGGTATCACTATACAAATTAATTAATTGCCTTTTTTATAAATAAATGAGGTATGTACCTATATATATACAGTTCGTTTAAGATCCGTGAACAAAAGAAAGAAGAGAAATTCTTTTTCACGTTCTACTAGCACTTTTTATCGAAACACTGCCGAACGAACTCCTTCTAACGGTGGCGCTATTGTCGCGTTTAGTAGCAGCCGTGGTCACAGGTGGGGCCTCTTGTCAGCCAAATCAATCTGGTTTGCAACAAAACAATTCTTAGGATCAACTCACACTGGCGCGGAGTGGAAGCGTCGCGTTTCATCTCTATTTTCCTATTATTAAGATACAAAGTTGTATAATGCAAATATGGAATCGCGCGTCGAGGCGGTTAAAGTTGGCGATTTCGCGCGTCGCTACGGTGACCGTCAAGATGGCTGGTCGCCTGTGGCGTCTGGTACTGAGTGTATATTCAAGAATTGCTACCCATTTGCTGCTATTTGCTACCTTTTCTAAATAATTGCTACCTTTGATATATTCTGAGAAATTTAAAAAAAATATTGACCAGGTTCGGTTTTCGGTTCGGTTATATTTCCGTTTTCTTTTTCTCCCTTCAGCTTTTGATAATAATTTCAGTTTCTTCCTCTAGAGCTTCAGATATAAGAGCAATTATAATAAGATCGATATCAACCATTGTACACTGTCGAGCATGACCGCTATACACGAATGTTCAAAAGTCTCTGAACTGGTCCAGCGCTGTGATCCGGGCGCGCTAATCCCAGGTTCGTCGTGCGACGTCGCGCATCGCCATGCGTTGTAGTTGAAAAACAGGACGAGACGCGACGCGACGCTTCCAATCTGCGCCAGTGTGAGTTGAGCCTTACACACATACTAAAAATAGACGTTATGACGAGATGCAGAAACCAGCGCGTTATATTGAAATGAAATGAGGTTTATTTGCATTGGATAGGTTTTTACAGGATGGTAGTTATTATATTGAGAGTTCATCTATTCAACCATTATACAAAGGCACGTAAACTTTAATGTTCTAAGTAGTTATTTACACTATAATATCCTTTTTAAATCAGATATTTCATAGATACTTATACAGTTAAGTTGTCATTGTTTTAAATGACAGATTTTTTAATTCAGTTGGTAGTGTATTATACATTTTCATGCACATGCAATTATAGTTTTTAAGTAAAGTGTAGTTTTAGGTACATTTTCAACGACAAGTCTGTGTGGGTTTCTTTTTGCGAGTGGATTAATTTCTATTCATTTAAAAAAAAAACAAAATTAGACGCTGTTTGACAAATTTCATAAATATGCATTGAAGGTAAAGTCAAAATATTTAAATTCTCAAACAGCGGCTTGCGAGATTCCCTTGGGCCAATGCCGCACATTACTCGTATACATTTTTTTTTAGGTTATGAATTCTTGTTCAACATAAGTTCCATTATCCCATATGATTAATCCATAACGCAAAACCGATGACCGACAAAACAAAACATTCCAGTATAACACATAAACTTAACTAAGTTTTTCCGTACACGCTCATCCGCCGTACATAAATTTTCTATGTGTAGTGGTGCGTTCGTATTGCTGCGTGTTGACATTGCTCTTAGTGTGCTTGAGAGTCGTTAATAAAGGTCTACCTTGACCCTTGTATTTACATCCCACCGTTGAACACGAGTCTATTCTAATAAATTTAAAGTTAGTACCTATATACGTTGTTAGTTAAAATTAGATAGTTATAATAATTATTTATTTCAGTCACATATTAATAATTATTAATACAAAGATCGAACACTCAGAAAAAACACTTAGAAAAAATTCCTTCGATCCGGTCGGATCCGAACCGACGTCTTCTTGCATACCGTGCCAGACACTATACCAACTAAGCCACGGAACGAACCAACGGACCTCACGAATTTCTCTATGTGCTTGCGTCGTGTCTTTGTACTTGGTCTTTCAACGACTTTTTAGTCGTAGCGCCATCTATGAGAATTCTATTACAGATTTATCACCCAGTTAGTACCTTTACAGCTACCAGTCCTGGCGAGAGATGTCGCTATTCACTGTGTTAATTAAATTTTTATTGAATTGATATTGATTGATTGAATTGATCCGACCGGATCGAAGGAATTTTTTCTGAGTGTTCGATCTTTATATTAATAATTATAACAAACTAGTGGAGTCATTTCACAAAAATAATTGAATATCAATTCAATAAAAATTTAATTAACACGTATTAATATTTAATTTTTACTAAAAAGTATTTTTTAAAATTTAGTTTTAATGTTTTTACAAGTTTCATGTTCTGTAATTTTACCAACACCCTTACCCTTCAAAACCGGAACGCAGTAAAGCTCACATTACTTCTTGGCGGCAGAAATAGGTAATAATAATGTAATGTACTTTCGTATGAGGCTCTTTCTTCCATTGACAACTAGTTTGATAAAATCTAAAGTTTTTACACAAGATGCAACTATTTTATTTCTTACGCGGTTTCCCGTAATCTCACATGATTTATAAAATTACAGATGTACCAATTCCAACACCACGTGAAAACACAAGGCAACAACGTAGACGGTCTTCTGCGCAAAATGAGCAATCTACTTAGCAACCATTTTGATCAGCCCGGAGTCGACGCTTATCATTGCAAAATGGTGGCTGAGTACGTCAAATTATTGGGTACATATAACGCTACTAATTTATCTATGTACCCCTTTCTACAAATTAAAAAAAAATATATTTTGATTACTTACTGTTGCGTATTTTAGAATGGCAGAAATTCACATTAAAGGCAGAACTGAACAACAAATCAACCCTATATTGCCTGGCGTATTGCTGTTTGCATCACTGGCACGAAGGCGCAGGCAATATTACATCCCCGCTCACACTATGTCAGCGCCACCAGGTAGGCAGAAGCTAAAGGACTGAAATAAACTTGCTAATTATGAATAATAATCATTTGCCAGCCAATCACACAGAACACCTGGTGTCTACGTAGGGAATCCACGAAATTTACTCAACACACCTTTAGCTGTATTTTAAATTCGTTCGTTTCTTAAATTGGTCCTGCCGGGAATCATACCGACGACTTTCCCATGTTGCTCCCAAGGCAGTAACTAGCAGCTACCGAAGTCTTCAAAAAAGATTGAATAATTTTAATTTAATTACCTTGTGGTTTAGCAGATAAAACTATACTCCGTTCAACAATTTATTTAGCCTCCGAAGTTCCGTAATTATTGACATACAACCATAGACTAAAAACTCAATACTACTTAAACTACTTCCTGAAACTTGTATTTTATAATTTTAGTGAAGCGACGTGCTCTTTAGCTCCAATATTTATCGAACCAGCAGATTACATAGCGAAGATTATTTAAGTTGATGAATTTTGGTACCTTTCTAATAAATTATAATGAAATGGAATAAATTAATAACGCACACACACACTCAACATAAAAATTAAATAATAAAAATAAATAATATAAATAAAAATTATAAATAATTATAATACATTTTTATTGTTTATTATTATGAATCGTCGGATTCTTCTCCACATGAACGGAAATCATTAATGAATTCCCATTAAGATTAATTATTAATTCTTGAGTACACAAATTGTCAAAGGCAACATCACGATCCCAATCAGACAATATCTTTTTTTGACCCGCTCACATTCCCGTTTTAAACTTCTTCATAAATAAAATCGATTGTCATAAAAAAATCGTATCGTAAACGCATTAGGATATCACTAATTGATTAGAATTCGAGCTGTCATAATATAATCTCAGTGCAGAGTACTAAAAAAAACGAACCTCAAAAGTACGTGGATTTACATTCATTTGCCAAGTTTTTTTGAAATCGGTTACCGGAAAGTACGCAAACCCGGATTCATCTCCTAGTTCGCCACTGTACGGAATTTGACACAGGAGATAATAAAAATCTGTTCTCACTACTCTAAAGTATATTGAGTGAGAAAAACGCCTTGAATTAGAGAATAGCAAAATCAACCATTAAAATAATTGCTCCTTATAATAAAATTTAGGCGCTATTTATAAAAATTAATCTTCATGCGTGAACAGCCACTCTTAGAGGTGCATGATTTTCTTCAAAATTAAATGGGACCACTATGGAGGTATCGTCTTTCTAACAAAAAAAGAATCATGAAAATCGGTGCACAAATACCGAAGTTATCGCGTAATATACATACAAAAAAAACATACAGTCGAATTGAGAACCTCCTCCTTTTTTGAAGTCGGTTAAAAAGTGAAATAAATGGCTGGACGGAGTATAGTGTTCTTAGTTTTCTTCAATTACTTAAATTCCGTTTTATTATTTAATAAATAATAATATGCCAGGCAACCATACCTATTTGCCTGGTCTGAAACTATGGAAATCCCTGTACTATGACATGGTAATGTGGTATGGCCGGACTGCCAAGCAGAGGTCCCAGGTTCGATTCCCGGGCCGGGAGAAATATTGTATGGCCTACAGTTATTTCTCTCGTGAGTTTGGGTGTAATTTGTGATTGTCTATGTGTGTGTCCATGGCACCCGCGACACAGGGTTTCCCTAGTGCGGGGCTATGTTGAGTGTGTGCGTTATTATTATTATTATTATAATAGTTTGTTTCCCAAATTGGAAATTTAACTTGGGACCTCTGCATCCAGCTCCTACAGTGCAGACCATTAAGCCACCGAGGTCGTTGCAGTGCCAATCAGAGATTTAATTTGCGGATTTGAGTGGCACTGCCACGCCCGTTAGCCTGACCCGTAAGTTGACTAGTCCCATGTGCCTGTAATTTCACCAACACCCTTCCCCTTCAAAACCGGACCACAGCTGACATTACCGCTTGGCGGCAGAAATAATAAATAAAATAAGTAGGTCTGTGCTCAGCAGTGGACATGTTTCAAATGATGCTAATTATGTCGGTCGCAGGTTAGTCCAATTCAATACGATTGGGTGGCGCTCAACGTCCACGCGAAAGCTGGCAAGTGGGACATCGTGGAATCGTTCTTTACCAAAAAGGTACAAAGCCCAAAATTGCAGTAAGGGCGCGTACCCATTGTGTCGTGACGACAGATAATCGTGCAGTTTAAAGTGTCGTGACTTGTATATTTAAATGAAGTTGTTCGCATAGTATAACAGGACTACCACGACTTTTTTGACGTTACGACGACAGACTGTCGTGGCAATGGGAAGAGCTAGAACGACTGTCGTCTGACGATATGTAAAACGTCACGATAAACATGTGACGACGGCTAATCGCAGCTTCATGGGATTACGTCGTGCAAATGACAAGGCGGCTGCCGTCAACCGATAAATTGTCGTCACGATCTAGTGAGACTCCACTACACAGTTACGACAGATAATCGTGATATTGGAACAGGCTAGACGCGACTGTCGTCCAACGATAAATACAACGTTACGACATAATGGGAACGCGTCCTAACCGTTGAATTAAATAAACAAAGCACACAAACTGTTCAAAAATACAACAAATTATGTGTATTAAGGTTGGTTTTTAAACAAATCGATTGCTTTTAAGAATCGCGACCTATCTCAAAAACACTTGACAATTGTGTACAAATGTATATTACGAAGAGCAACCCCTAGAGTTTCTTACTCATGCTTCACAGGGGAATCTGCCTTACGTACTACTATTACGTATACTACCTTATTATAATCAATGTACCGATTGCAAATGTAATTACAGTCATGGTCAGTAATGAGAAGAAAAAAAACCCTAGGGTCTTATTTGGGGCATTGTAGTTCACCGAAAGTACCTCAGTCTTCGACTTCGGGCTTCTAATAGTCTCTTCTCGCCCTTAATACACAAAGTACTATTACTTACCTGGGAAATAAAAAAAAATTAAGTTTGAGTATAATAAGAACATTGCATGTGGCCACTTTGATTTATAACGTCATGAAAAGAGGACGAAACAGGCAGAGTATATTTTCTTAAACGAATATCTATAGAGCGAATAATACCTTCCTCCCGAAATGTTTATTTTTCTACTTCTTTTTTTCATTTCCAGAAATAATGTTTTCTAGAATTTTCATAACCTCGAAAGTAATTTTGAGAGGAAAATGTTTTTTCTTTTAAACCTAACTTAACCTTTTTTTTTTTTTTTTTATCGGGGGGAAATGCTTTATGCATACCCTCGAGCCCGGGGAGGCACGAGGGTTATGTGGGACTAACCCTCCGATGGAGGGCATACCCACTAAAAACCCCCGGCGCACCCCCTTGGCGGCTGTTGTGGGCACCGTGGGATCCCGAGGATTCTACCACAACGATGCCCCCGGCCACCTTGGCTTCTGCCAAAGTTCCCGCGCTAAAGAGGGGAGGGTCGGAGGCTTAACCCATCCCCTCAGACGACGAGTGAGACCGTGCAATGCGGGCAAGGGATCCCCGTCCCTTGTCCGCTGGCCTCACTAGGGAATTAGGCGAGCAGCGAACAGCACTCGCCTTCTTCCCCGTCGCCTGCGCCGGAGCGGGTTCGCGTCGACTGCGTCTTCGCGCACCCGTTCCGCGGCCTCCTTTTGCGAGATGACCTCCTCGCAAAAGAAGGCCACTGCCTCCCACGATTCCTCGCCGCTTAGCATGGCAGATACCACGCTAGGCAGCGAGAGATTTCCCCCTATAGTCGCTGCCAGAGTGCGGCGTTGCTCACTCCAGCGATTGCACACCTCTAGGGTGTGTTAAACCTAACTTAACCTAACCTTTTTTTTTTTTTTATTATTATTACCGTGAGGAAAATGCGTTACGCATTCCCCGCCGCTGGGAGACGGCGGGGGTATGTGGGACTCTCTCCTGGGGACTATGTCGATCCCCAAGAGCATACCCACTAAAAACCTCACGATGTTCCTGCGCGCACCTGGCGCCGGAGCCGCGGAGTCCCTTTCAGATGCTACCGCGACTCCGGTGGTGCTGGTCCGCCTTTGGGCGGACCCCTACACCATCGCCCCCTTAATCATGGGGGGCGACCTGCACGGAGATGCCCCGGAACATTTGGGGCATCTACCGGCGGCGGAGGCCTGTGCAATGCAGGGGCAGGGTCTCCCAACCCCGCACCCTGCTGGCCTCCGCTGATGGGACGCAGGCGGTCGGCGAAGAGCCGTCGCGTGCGTCCTCTCCGCCGACGCCGAATGGGGTCCGAGAGGGCGCTGTCTTCGCGGACCCGTTCGGCTGTCTCCTTCTGCGACATCACGTCCTCGCAGAAGGAGACCATCGCCTGCCATGACCTCTCGCTTCCCAGCATGGCTCTAACTATGCTGGGCAGTGAGAGGTCTCGTCCCACCACCTCTACGAGATCCCGGCGCTGCTGGCTCCAGGTCGGGCACACCTCCAAGGTGTGCCTCGCCGAGTCTGTAGCAGCGCCGCACTCGTGACACTCCGGGGTCACCTCCCTCCGTGCGATCTTGTGCAGGTAGTCACCGAAACAGCCATGTCCGGTGAGTACCTGAACAAGACGGTAGGTGAGGGACCCGTGCCTCCTCTTTCTCCAATCAGCCAGTACAGGGAGCAGCGCCTGGACGGTGCGCTCCCCGTATCTGGCCGATCGGAGTGCCTCCTCCCACCCCGCCTGGACGGCGGTCTTGGCGGCACGCCGAACCCCCACTAGCTCCTCTAGTGTGGGGCGCTCTCCACGTGCCCTGGCTTCCGCACGGCACCTGTAAGTCTGCTCGAGGACGGACGCCTCGAGCTCCCAGGGTGCGGATCCAGCCAGGGCGCATGCCGCCGCTCCGGAAACCGTCCGGTACGCCCGAATCGCCCTCACCGCCATTAGCTTCTGCGGCCTGCGCAGAAGCGGCCGCAGTCTGGTGGTGAGGGCCTCCGCCCAGATGGGCGCCCCGTAGAGGGCCATGCTCCGTATGACGCCGGCATAAAGCCGACGACACAGGGAGCTGGGTCCCCCCACATTTGGCATAAGGCGCCCAAGCGCCGCCGCGGCGGACACGAGTCGCGGCGACAGCCGGTGGAAGTGCTCTTTGAAGTTCCACCGGCTGTCCAGGGTGAGCCCAAGGTACTTTATATGAGGGCTCACCCCGACCCTCCTACCTCCCACCTCCACCCAGGAGCCGGGCGGAGGCCCTCGACGGAGGCCATAGAATGCTATGACCTCGGTTTTGTCGAAGGCGACCGTGAGCCCCAGCTCCCCAATGCGGCTGACCACTAGGGCGCTTCCCTCCGTAGCCAGTCGCGACGCTTCCCCCCAATCCCGCCCCCGGGCGTAGACTAGAGTGTCATCTGCGTAGCAGATGACACCCAGTCCAACGGGGAGAGATCCTCGGAGCACGTAGTCGTACCCGAGGTTCCACAATAGCGGGCCCAGAACCGAGCCCTGTGGAACCCCGCGGCACATGCTCCGCTCCTTCATCTCCCCGTTCCGGTCAAGGAAGAAGATCTTCCTCCCGGTGAGGTAGCTCGACACCACCTGCCTCAGATATTGAGGCAGGCGGTGGAACTTTAGGGCCTCCTCGATGACGGAGAACGGGAGACTGTTGAACGCGTTGGCGATGTCCAACGACACCGCCACAACAATCCCCCGCTCCGCCTTGGCCCTCCTCACCTGTCCCCTTAGCTCCGCTATCGCATCGATGGTCGAACGCCCAGCCCGAAATCCGAACTGGTGCGACGACACATCGGGGCCCACACTGTCGAGGAGCTCGATGATGCGGGCAGCGAGCACTCGCTCGAAAAGCTTACCCGCCTCATCGAGCAGCACGATGGGCCGATACGCTGATGGGGACTCGACCGGACGCCCTTCCTTCAGGAGGAGGCAAAGGCGGCCCTCCTTCCACACCTGGGGGAAGCTCCCCGACGCCAAGCTGGCATCGAAGAGCTTCAATACGCGTTCTCCCAGGTGTTCCAACGCAAGTGCCAGGACTTTCCCTGGCACACCGTCCGGACCGGGGGCCTTTCTTGTGGCTCTGAGCCGGTCCGCTGCCGCCTTTAGTTCCTCCTGTGTGACTGGAGGAACTGTATCGGCCTGTTCCGGCTCCGCAATCGGCGGAGCCATGGAGGGAGGAGAGAAACTCTCATCCCCCTCCGGGAACAGGCCAGCCACCACTTGACCGAGGAGCTCCGTCTCCATCGTCTCGGCGGGGGGCGCCCGGTGCTGCAACTTGTTGCGCACCATCTTGTACGGGCGTCCCCAGGGGTCCCCATCCAACGTGGCCAGGAACCCCTGCCGGGCCAGATCTTGGGCCCGGCTTATGCCGACTCGGAACTCCTCTTGCGCCGCCCTATAGGCGGCGTGGTGGTTCTCCTCCTCCTGGGGCGTGTGACGCCTTCTGCGACACCGCTTGTGCGCCCTCCGCGCGGCGTTGCTGGCGGATCGCAGAAGCGCGAGCTCGTGCGTCCACCAGTAGACCTCCCTCTTGTTGGGAGGCCTGCCGCCGCTACGAGGCATTGCGGCATCGCAGATGGCAGTCAGATTCCTTCTGAACCTGACTGCCATCTCGTTCGAGCCCACTTGGGGGGAAGCGCCCCATGCAGCCACGATAGCCGCCTCCGTTGCCCTTTCGGCATCGAATTTGGCGAGGGCCCAACGGGGAAACCCCTCTCGCCCTCGCCCTCGCCGTGCAGGCGCCGTCGTTGACGCCTGCGAGGAGGAGACCCTGAACCTTATGTATACGTGGTCCGAAAGGGTCTCCTCCCCCTCCAGCACCCGCCAGTCCTGCACTTGTGAGGCTAGGGTGGGGGTCGCGAACGTTATGTCCACGATGGAACCCCCCCACCTCCTCACGCAGGTGTTGGCGGTGCCGCGGTTAGCGACGACCAGGCCATTGGCCGTCACCCACGCCTGTACCGCTCGCCCCTTGGCGTTGGGCAAGCGGCTGCCCCAAGCCGGCGATTTGGCATTGAGGTCGCCCATTACCAAAATTTTCGCCGGGGCGAGCCTCCTCACGACCGAGCTGAGCCTCAACAAGAACGGCTCAAACTCGGCCATTGGGCGGTTGGGCGAAAAATAAACGCCCACTACCGCCAACCCTCCTCCGCACACTGCCACCACGTAACCGGCCCCCCTCTCTTTTACGATGAGAGGGGGAGCTGCTGACGGCGTGACGATAGCCACGACGCCGTCCATGTCCCCAGCCCAGTTGGAATGCCTGGGAACGTAGTACGGGTCAGCGGCTACCGCAACGTCCACTGACCACTGCGCCATGGACTGCATGAATAAGTCCTGTGCTCTGGCGCAGTGGTTCAGGTTCGTCTGGAGGAAGTTGAGTTCAAGCCTGTCCATCAATAGACATCTCAACTTCCTCCACTGGCGCAGCCGTAGGTACCGTCGCTGCGGTGGAACTTAACCTAACCTAACCGAACCTAATCGTGTCTGCGATAAACATCCAACATATCCTGAAAGAACAACAATTTCGTTATAATTCGGTTTTCGGTGTAATTAAAATTCGAACAAACGTTATTTCGGAAAAAAAATTCGAGTTTGTGATAGGTTATCTGTTTGAGATACAATTTGTAGTATTCATTTTGTATTATTTTGTTACTATGCGAAGTGTAAACATACAGGGTGTTGATTTGCTTTCTCGCCATATTTAAGAAATTAACAATAGAATTAATGCTAAGTCATCTAAAAAAAAAATAAAAAAAAATAAAAAATAAAAAAATATTCTGTTCAATATTCTGGCTAATTGTATCTAGTGAAGTTTTGTAAAATTGCCCCCCCAAGTGACCCCGCCACTCGCTTCACCGAGCAATACGTAATCATTCTCTATCGCTTATTTACCTATTTTTTAAATAATGATTATGTACTAGTACTGTTATAATTTACTAATTATTTATATTAGTTAGAAAAGTTAGGTTTTCGCGATTGTTACACATAGGAAATGAAACTATTTTATAATATATGGTCAACCGTGACCATGGGACCTGTAAAGGGCCCGAAACGTCGGTTTGTTTGAAAAAACCAATATACGCGATTTAAATCCGGAAAAATAGTTTCATTTCCAATTAGATTTGGTACTTACCTAACGTTACCTAAACCTAAAGTTTAGGTTACACGAAAGTAGTGCTAGAAGTACCTAGCTCCACAGCTGGTGGTAGGCTCCGCACCGGATGCGTGTGCAGAGTTTCGTTTCAACTTAGTACATTCTTCACAACAGAAAAAGCAGAAAGAAACTAGAGACGATTTTTGAGCGCAATTCTTCGACACTCGTAATCTGCGTAAACTAAACGTTTCACATCCTCCCATAAGAATGCACTTGATAGTAATGAACGTGGTAGCGATTATTTTTTTGCACTAAGTCTTGTTTACAACACACACAAACCACGTTGCATTTCATGAGAAACTAGAACGTATGCGCGATGTCGACTGATGATCTACCAATCACGCGCTCGATACGATACTCCCCCCCGTCTCTACTCGTACCCTGCCATTAAATAGGTTTAAAATGCGTATTTTCTGCGCATAGTGCGCATAGGTAATTGTTCAAATGGTTGCCGGTACCTGTGACACGTGTAGTGCGCGTCAATAACCTTTAGGTCAAACTTGGTTACCGCAATTAAATAAAAAATGAGAATTTAGGAAAAAGAAAAATTTAGGAGGAATTTATAAAATATTTAATAACGTCTGTAAATATGTCGAGAGTGCAAACCAACACATTGTATTTGCATAAGTGGGGAAAAAAAGGAAAAATGAGACAAACTTAAAAGTAATGCGACTAAACACTAACATAGATATTAATTTGGCAGCACTATTGAGAAGACGAGTTGAAATATATGAGGAGATTCGTACGAATTCTATAAATATTGTTGTCGAAAACATCAATGTGAGCTCCAAATTCTGACATTAGAATAACAATCTATTTATATATATCTAAAAGAAGAACAACCACGGATGAAATAGATAAATAATTTATCAGAAATGAACAATAAATGTAGTGACGATTGTTTCCTCCCATTTTATAATGCCACATTTTTAACCGACTATAAAAAATGAGGTACTCAATTGGACTGTATTTGTTTCATGTAACATACACACGAAACAAATACAGTCCAATTACTCCGACATTTATGAACCGATTTCGATGATACTTTTTTATGTTGAAAGTATGGTATCTGAATAGTGGTCCCATTCAAATTTGAAGAAATATTCCACCTGTAAGGGTAGCAAATTAGAGGTGAACCCGGTTTATTGGATTTCACCCACTTCCCGTTAACCGATCTCAATAAAACTTGTTTGTTGTTTCTTTGATATGTTTTTTATAAATAAGTTATAATTTTCAGGACTGGCTAGGCCGTACCACATTGTCATCTCACATTCCAATGGAAACCCTTCTGTCTAGGTTGAGCGAGCTAGAGGCAAGCAAGCAGTTGTTAGCCACTTGTGTTCAGAAAGCAGGAGATGACAAACTCAGACTGGCATTGGCGTATAAGGTAAGTCTATAGATGCGTATATAACAGTAACTCCGAAGTACTTAAAATAATTATTTAGAAGATATCTACAACCTGCAAACAACACAATTCAAATTGTACTTATTAACAACTACACAAAATTATTATACTTAGAGGTATCAATCAATTATTTACTACTCTGTGATACGCAGGTTATAAAAGCAAAGTCTACACTTAAAAACGTCATTTGTTTAAGCTACTGCTCGTTCATAACACTGATCTCCCTGAGAAGAATGAACAAGAAACTGTGGGGGAATTGCTCTTTTCAAATAAACTTAAATGCTTATTTGAATCATAATAATGTGTGGAATCTAAACTGCTAGATGTTGTCTTTCCATACATCTTTATCTAACACATACTCTTCAGTTTTGTAATATAACTTTGCAATTAATATACTTTTAATGTAAGTTTTAAACTTAGGAAATGATAATCTTAATATATTCTCCGGAATCTTATTGTAAAAGCGTATACTGTTCCCCATAAGAGAACCTTAGTTAAACGAAATCATGATACCGTGAGTTTGGACTTAGTTCTAAGGTTAATATTATGAATATCTTCTTTCTTAATGAAATTGTGTATATTTTTACGGGCACACCAAATATTTGAGTAAATGTACTGTGATGCCACAGTCATAATACCAGTCTCCTTAAACTTTTCTCTGAGAGAAACCCGATAACCTAAACGGTACACAGAACGAATTGCTCGTTTTTGCAACACTAACGTGGTTTGTATAACTGCCGCTTTACCCCACACGAGCATCCCGTAGGACATTATACTAGGCGTTACAAGAATGATTTTTAGCTTCGTGTGAATCTTTAAAACAACTTTTAAATATTTTTTAAATTACAAAGATATACAGGGCTATCTGTAAAATACACAACACTCGGGACTATATTACTAACATCATAAACAACAACTTTTGTTCCATGACAAAACATAATAAATTAATGAACAATAAACTTTCAAGTTTTTGTTGTAGTATCTGACACGTTTTAGATCTGTATTGGGTAGTAAGGCGATGACCCCCAGCCGTGCTCCTGCATTTTGCACAGAGATGTCATCTTTTAGAGTGATCTATTTAAATATTTTTATTTTTGTACGATGAATTATTAAAAGTTATGGAACAAAAGTTGTCATGTATGATGTTAGTAATATGCGAGGTTGTTAATGTTTTACAAATATATTAGACAAAATATATTGTCACTTGGACGAGTAATGGGCCAATGATGATTCGAATGAAACAAATTTGGCTATTTATTGCATAAGCCTGACCAACATTCAGTCGATAATCGATAGAATTTTTATCTTTATTATCTTTTATTTTTCTTTTCTTTTTTATATTTTAGATAGCTGCTCGCAAGCGGGCCACACTTTTACGCATTGAACTGTCATTTTCTTCAAAAAAGACACTACAGTTGCGTAGTCCCGTAAAACCCTTTGTTTTGCTTTCAGATACATTCTGTAGTAATTGAAACGCTAGCAAAGCAAAAGGACCGCGCTGCTCTAACTAACTACAAGATGACCCTAAGCCCCCAGAGTGAGGAGTATATACTCGCTGAAAATACACTGAGAGATACAGTAAGTTCATTATAGTATTTATTTTCTATTGAATTTCACGATTCAACCACCGCGATTATCATTTTGTTTTTTTTTATATAACTCCACTAGTTTGGTATAGTTTTTTTTTATAATATCAAGACTGTGATGGGACGAGCAAGTCGTGTGCCTTGTGGTAAACTATATGCCTGTCCATAACAGTTGCGGTGCCACTCAGAGTTCAAATCGCGAAGAACTGAGAGACACTGCCACTGCGCCTATCACCCTGGGACATAAGTTGACAAGTCCCATGTACCTGTAATTTCACTAAAACCGGAACGCAGTAATAATTATTAATACAAAGATTGATTATATATTTGTGAAAACGTGATGAAATCTATATATCGAAAAAGGTTTACATCCCTGGATAACGCCTACATAAATGACAAACTTTGTAGCGTCTTTTTTTTTTAAAGTAATGCAAACATTTCCGAGCATGTTTGAAAAAAATAACTTACTGTAATACAAAGATCTCAGACACAGTAAAATTTCATCAACCTGCTAAACAAACCTGTAGCTCATTTGGAAGAGCGAAGGCACGATATCCCGTGGACGCAAGTTCGAGTCCTATCGGATCGAAAGAAATTGTCTTTGTGTTCGCTTTGTATTAATATTATGTACCACACTAGTGAAGTAATTTCACGAACAAGTCTAAAAGTTAGAAGCAATTTCACATAAAATGATTGAATATCAATTCAATAAAAATTTCAATACAGTGAATAGTGTCATTTCTGGTCGGGGCTGGTAGCTGTAAAGGTATCTAATTGGGTGACGAAATACATTACAATCGTCTACCTTTACACACACGCACGACTTTAGGCAGCGGTGCAAACGCGATGCAGTAGCTAATCGTCTACCTTTACGACTTTAAGCAGCTATACAAACGCGATGCAGTAGCTAATCGTCTACCTTTACACACACGCACGACTTTAAGCAGCTATGCAAACGCGATGCAGTAGCTAATCGTCTACCCTTACATACACGAACGACTTTAAGCAGCTATGCAAACGCAATGCTGTAGCTAATCGTCTACCTTTACACACACGCACGACTTTAAGCAGCGGTGCAAACGCGATGCTGTAGCTAATCGTCTACCTTTACACACACGCACGACTTTAAGCAGCTATGCAAATGCGATGCTGTAGGTAATCGTCTACCTTTACACACACGCATGACTTTAAGCAGCGGTGCAAACGCGATGCAGTAGCTAATCGTCTACCTTTACGACTTTAAGCAGCTATGCAAACGCGATGCAATAGCTAATCGTCTACCTTTACACACACGCACGACTTTAAGCAGCTATAAAAACGCGATGCTGTAGCTAATCGTCTACCTTTACACACACGCACGACTTTAAGCAGCTATGCAAACGCGCGACTTTAAGCAGCGATGCAAACACGCGACTGCATCGCTACACTTGGGATTTATAAGCGATTCCGTCGATGCAGTTGCGCGTTTGCATCGATTGAATAGCCTAATCGCAAGTGTAGCGATGCAATTGTGCGTTTTACGAACGCGTGTTGGCATCGCTGCTAAAAGTCGCCATTTGTAACTCTTAGCCTGTACAGGGAAATATAGAAATGGATAGACCACATCAAAAAAAGTTTGCGATCAATAGCATAAGCTCCTATAATTCTTTAAATTTAACTTTATCAAGAAAAAATCTATGTTGTATGCTTTCTTTAAATAGGAATACCCTGTTTGAAATTAAAATATAAAACTATTTTTTATTAATTATTTTAAAAAATTGAGCCATTAATCATAATGTAATAGTGATAGAAATTTCATAGAAAGAAAAAGACTGTTTAATTAAACTTAAACAACAATTTATTATTAAAAGGTGTGAATTCAATATAAAATAACTCCTCCCCTGGCTCGAATACATGCGAAGCTCCTCCTGGGCATGCTGAGGATCAAGTTATCCAGCATTTCCTGGGGTAACCTATCCCATTCTTCAATAGCGGCTTCCCTGAGCTCTGGAACTGTCTGGGGACGTGGCTCACGGTTCCATATTGCTCGTTTAAGAGCATCCCACGCGTGCTCTATTGGGTTTAAGTCGGGCGAGCCGGCAGGCCAGTCTAATCGTGTGATATCGTATTCTTGAAGAGCAGCATTGACTCGTTGAGCTCGATGTGCGGGCGCATTATCATCGACCAGTACAAATTGGTGCCCATGGTTTACTCGGAATGGTCTGACGATATCATCAATAGCAACTGCTTTGTACATGTCTGCTGTCATGAAGCCCCGATACGGGATCAAAGGCGTTCTAGCTCCAATCATAATGCCACCCCAAAAGGACACCGATTTTCCGCCTTGCTGAACTGTTCCAGTGGCAGTTCTTTGTCTTTCACGGTCGCCTGGTCTTCTCCAGACACGGACACGTCGGTTATCTGGATGAGTGCTGATTCGGGATTCGTCAACGAAGAGACGGTTTTGCCAAATGTTTTCGTCCTCACCTTCTTCATTTTGCCGAAGTCTAGCCCACTGCAATCTTCGTTGTTGACGTTGCCGGGAATTGAGCGGAGCTCGCCAAGACCTCCGTGCTCGTAATCCAGCCTGGTCCAAGCAATTGCGAACGGTCGGCGTGCTAACTTCAAGCCCAGAGGCGGCCCTGACTTCTGCTTTTATTTTAGTGGCGTTGATTGTTGGATCACGGGCTGCCAGCAATCTAATATAGCGCTTTTGGGCAGCTGTCAAAACAGTTGGGCGACCGCTGCGGGGTCGGTCAGCTAAATTCCCCATTCCGTGATACCTCTGCAACGTAGCCACGACACAGGATTGGGATATAGCAAGTCTGCGTGCTATTACTCTCGTGGTGTATCCTTCTTCCCTCAAAGTTACTATTCTAGCTCGTAAAACCTCTGATAATCCTCTTGGCATTTTTTCAATCACAACTTTCCGCGAAAAATGTCTTGAATCGTTTATAATTGACTAAATCAGATTTCTGAATGAGCGTAAGCTAGGACTGAAAGCCTTTTTATATGAAAAAACAATTGAACGTGGTCATTGTTTTATGTTCTAATTTATTTTTAAATAAAGAATCTAAAAAGAAGAAAAAATAATAATATAATCTACAGTAACAAAAAAGATTTCAGTTTTTCGAAGTGATCGCAAACTTTTTTTGATGTGTGTACATACATACACGTGAAAAACATATCCCTCCCGCACTTGGATAATATTAAAAAATAATCGAATATCATGGTATTAAAATGTCTTGATATTTAATAAACTTAATTATTATAATGTTGGTTATTAGTGACGATCGTATTGTTCCTTAGCATTGTATTTTAAATTGTAACATTTATCTTTTATAATAAAAATGAAAAGCCAGACTGCCACACCAATTACCTGGTCTCAATCACACACTACCCGGAACACCCAGATCAGAATCAATTTAGAAAAGGTCTTTTCCCAATTTGGTCCTACCGAGAATAGAACCCGACCTTCCTCATCCAGCATCCACAAAACAAACAGTAACATTAATATAATATGGAATAAATAATCCCGTTTTTTTTAATGTTATCACGAAGATTCAAATATGTTTGGGTTTTTTAAAAGTTTCTTATTTATGTTTCAGTCAATAAAATGGAAGAATTAAAGAAGAACGAAATGTATGGTACTAAATGTTGTTAATATATACTAAAGGTCTGTTTATGCTGGCGATTTCAACGCGACGTTTTTCTGGAGAGCAGAACACTTTACTCAGACTGAATTTTTGTATTCTACAGTTATATTAACAAAATACTTGTTTTATTATTGTACGTCTATGCTATGATATTGACGATCTAGTGTTGTACGACTATGAATGACAAATAGTAATAAATATGTTTAATTATTTTTGTTTTTATTCGTTGTCTGGATTGCAATAGACCCGGTTCTGACTTCTACAGATTTATATAAAATAATAAGCAGAGTGGAGACCATTTTTAACCGACTTTAAAAAAGAGAGGAGGTTCTTAATTCGACTTTTTTTGTATGTATGTTACGCGATAACTCCGGTTTTTTGTGAACCGATTTTGATAGTTTTTTTTTGTTGAAAAGAGGGTAGGAGAGTCGTGGTCCCATTTAAATTTGAAGAAAATACTCTGTGTGTATTAGTGTGGCAAACTAAGGGATGAATCCGCATCCGGTTTTGCACACTTTCCAGCAATCGATTTCAATAAAAGTAATTGTGATTCCACGACCTTTTGAGGTCGGTTTTTTTAGTACACTGTGCTGAGATTATTAAATTAAAAAGAATGTCAAGAATACTATCCTATATACAATTTATTTTTATTGCCTATCCCATTGTGCATTTAAATGAACGAGAAATATAGCATTCAAAAGCGCAATTTGAATGCTATATTTCGCATGTAGACATGACCATAGGGTATCTAAAAAAATACTTTAAAAAATCCCATTTGCGATTTTCATACAAAATTGAGGGCATACGAGAATGGCCCTGAAGCATGTAATTATATTTGCACATTTTAATATTGGGCGTTTAGCGCTTCTCCTGTTTCATTTTGCTTGGCCTTAGGAGCCTAAAGATGCGCATGTAGACCAAAATAATAATCATTTTTTAACCGAGTTCAAAAAAGGTGGAGGTTATACGCTCGGCTGTATGTATGTATGTTTTCAGATATCTCCGTCATTGTGGACCGATTTTGAAAATTCTTTTTTTGATTGAAATGATGCACACTCTCGTGGTGGTGATTATCACCAAGTCAGAATCTGATGAGGGGATCCCATTAAAACCGAAGGAAATCCTCAAATTTTACAGGCATGTCCGTGTATTCACCAATTTCTCCATCAACTGTGCACCGATTTTGAAAATTCTTCTTTTGTTTGAAAGGGTACTCTCGAAGTGGTCCCTTGGATGCCAACGATGTTGTTCCTGGTTCGTTTCGGCTTTCACAAATTAAATAAAATGTTTTCCGGCAAATAAAAGTGGACTTTTCACTTAAAACAATACATGTAATCAACAAATCACTGTCACCATGACAACCAGGGCCTTGATTTTAATTGCCTCTCCCGATCAGATACTGCGTCTTTTCCGAGTCGAGGATAATATATTGAGGATGGGCTAACCGATCCGATCGATTCCAATTTGAATTAAAATCAGCGCCCGAAAAGAAAATATTAAATGTACAAAGGAGTCCGTAACAGTCCCATTGTCACCAAGAAGTCAAGACTGATGAGGGGATCCCATGGAAATCGAAATAAGCCGGTAAGCAAACTTTTGAGAGAGGTTTTTTTTTTTATTAAAACAGTTTGAGAGAGGTTTTTTTTTTCATTAAAACAGTTACAATTATATAATTCTTTCTTATATAGATAAGGTTATCTATAGTTATAGTTATCTATAGGTTATATATGTCGCCGACATACGATCGATAATGTCAAAGAATAGCCTTATCAATGTTGTGACGAATTATTTAAGTGAATTGCTCAATTGGTAGTTGTTGCCCTACTTGTTCAACACCAGCGATTTGCATTGAACCGTAGCGTGACTAACTGATGAACAATTGACCGACCTCGTAGACAAGGTGACACAGGTTAATGTACTGCTGCGGTATATAATAAAAACTGCTTTTTTTGCCAGATTACACGGCGTACATCTCTCTGGGTGATTGTATGTCTCTGGTTGACGGGCGCTGCCAGTGCCCCTCAGTTTTTGCCGATTTAACGCTTTGAGTGGCACTGTACCTCAGTTCTCGGAAAGAATACGGGCACCAATAACATTTTTACCAAAATTTAGTTACTCGTATCTTAAAGCGCAAAACTGAAATGCATTGTAGGTATATGTATACAAATTTTGCAGGCTGATATCACATGACATTCCCAGCATATTCACACACTGGCTTTTTCCTATTCTTATAGTAATGCATCCAAATTAACTCCTTAGATAAGAAATTCAAAAATAAATAGGTTTTGCCAACTCCTGAATAATCACTCATGAATCACTCTTTTTAAGATACGTGTTTGAGAAAGTAAGGCATCGATATTCGGAATCAGGTAAAAAGATATATTCTTTTGTAGAAATAAAAGTTTCTCAATAATTATTAAATATACTTCAAGATCGAAGCAAACAACTGATATCAATAATCAGATTTATTTACTATAAAATGTCACATTTGGAGTTTCTTACTTTAAAACGCTAATATCGAAGGATTTTACTTAGTAATATACGGGACTGTGTCTTTTAACGTCGCCTTAGAGTGAAAAACTCGCATACGCGTTTTCACTTTTCACATAGTTTGTTTTTACCCACTGATTTTTGTTAATGAAAAACTTATACATATATTATTATATAGTAATATAGTATCTGAGAGAGGTATAATTTAATTAATCACAATGCTAACTAAAAAACATTATTGAGTTTATTATATTTTACACCACATTTTTATCTTCGTCCTGAAAAATTACATAGACATCACAAACGAGGTTTTCACTAAGACGACGTTATATAGGTTAATTACAATATAATAACACAAAAAAGACAACTGAATACAATTGTGCCCTTTAGTTCTATTCATGAGTCAAATTTTAAGACTCACATTTAAATTAGTTATGCCCTTTAAATGCAGTTATAATATTTTCATTTTTTCTACGAAGTTATTCTGTATAAAACATGTGGTATGTATTTATAATATAAAGAAACTACTTAATATCAAACTATGCTTTAACTATTCGTTTTATTACAAAAATGTACCAAATATTGAAGACATTTATCTCCAAATGTAGAATTTGCTACTTGTACCTTTCTTTCTTCCGAAGGCAGAACTGTCGTGGATAGGCGTGTCATTTACCACCAGGTTCACTACTTGTTCGTCCCGTCACTAGGTATCATAAAAAATACTAAACTAATGTACCATACTCCCACACCCATTAGGTACCTGATCTCAAACTAAGTAATTCCTTGTGCTGTGAGTAACAGGGAAATTAGTTACATCGCATTGCCGAGAATACCAACCCGTTTCCCAACGATCCTGCCGGAAGTGAAAACCGAAACAATAGCGGGCTTTATGCCGCTATTGTTCACGAGTCTTCACTTGCGTTTTTTGCTTGCTTGCGTTGGCTAGGCCGACGTAGAAATCTGCCTTCCGCGCAAAGGCGTTCAGGGAGTCTTCCGCTTTGCGTTGCAAAGAGACTTGCGCGCATACGTGGCGCCTTGCCTTTGTTTTGGTTGTATTGGACGCGTGGACGCTGCTGCTCTGTGATTGGCCAGTAGTGCTGTCCTCCGTAAACGTTCCCAGCTGCTTGCGCGGAAATATCGAGCTTGCTAGATATCAAATTCATGCAACGCAATGCAAAACATGCAATTAGTAGCAGTAGAGCTCCTTGTGAAATAGTACGTCCGGGGAAGTGCTGCCACCTTATCTATTTCTGCCGCCAAGCAGTAATGTCAGCATTATTGTGTTCCGGTTTTGACGGGTAAGGGTGCTGGTGAAATTACAGGCACATGGTACTTGTCAACTTATGTCTCAGGATGATGGGTGCAGTGGCAATGCCCCTCAGATCTTTGCGATTTAAAGAGCTAAGTTGCATTGCAACTGTTATGGACAGGCGTGTAGCGTACCATCAGGCGCACGACTTGTTCGTCCCGTCACTTGATATTATAAAAAAAACGCAAAGCAAGCGGCTGGCGCAAGCGAGCGACTCGTGAACAGTCCTGCCTGTGCGTACGCGACAGATCTTTGCGTATGCGCGAAGCGGGTCACGCAAGCAAGAGAAAAACGCAACTGCGCCCATCAGTCGCGCGCGCCAGTTTCACGCGGTATATCCTGCATGAGTAGCCTTTACACGGATGCTCTTTTCGTTGTAATAAAAACGAACACTACCAATCGCGCGGAAGAATATTCAAACAAATATAAATCCTGACGAGTGGCAGTGAATAGGAGGTTATTATCTAGCTCAAAGCGAGGTCGTCAATACTTAAAAAAATATCATAATAAAACACACCGTACATGTGTGTTAATAATAACTTTATTACTATACAAAGTAATATTATAAATGCGAAAGTAACTCTATTTGTTACGTTTTCACGTTACGTTTTCAATTTCGATGAATTTTGGTATAGAGATAGATGGGACCCAGGAGAAGGACATACTACTATTATATACTACTAATAGGCTACTTTTTGCCACAAAAATATGTCTTAAAGGGAGTGAAATAGGGTATATGAAACTGAAATTTAATACAGAACAGTGGGCTACTCGATACTTATTCTATGTTGCGAACACCAGCTAGTTTTGTAGAAGAACCTATTTACTTAGTTTCAGGATTCAGAGTTGACAAACGGATACGGAGCTGGATCCTCGTACCAAAGTTTTTATTAGTAGTAGTTAGTTTATAATAATTAATTTATATATTACAATATAACAATAACAATAATCTTTATTTACCTTCAAACATGGTTCCTTAAACAAAAGTGGCCGGAGCCTCCTTTTAAGCATAGCTTGTGTCAGAAAGCGCCGGTCTTTCCTAGCTACACATTTCAAAAGAAACTTAATTAACTAACTTAATAAAAAGAACATACAAACGCTACTTATTGCTACCTCGTTACAATATATTATTATCTATTATTGTGTCTTAAATTAGAATATTTGTTGTAATTTCAATATTTTGTTAGGGAAAAAATACACGTTGTTTGGAAAGTTTATGGAGTCTTAAAATCTAGAGACTCCAGTTTTATGAAAACACCTTTGGACCCTTATAAAACAAAAATAATCACTGCCGCCATTAGTCGAATAAAAATATCTAGGTACTTTTTTTGAGGATGTTTGCCCATCTTATTGACTGTACAATTTTTAAGTTTTGGGTGATTTGTATATTTTCCTATTTTTA